AGGTAACGGTCACTGCATTCAACCTGGAGGGTGCAAACATCTTCCCTGAGCAGACAGCTCTGCTGCATCCTTATTAATCCAAAAATCATACCCATATTAATCACTCCACAGATTATTACTCTACCCATATCCATTACCAACCTGCTAATCCTTCAGCCTGTGCACTGGGGCAGTGGCTTCCCACCAGCAGCTCCTCTGCAGATGGAGGGAGGGAATTCTGCCTTGTTCCAGAGGTGCATCCTTGGGAGTTCCCTGCAGAGCTCCCCACTTCACAGCTCCCAATCAAAAGGCAGCCAGTTCATTAGTGTGTGTGTAAATGAGGGGTTTGTTTGAGACCTGCAATTAGTACAGTGCTGTGACCACTGTGAATGCCTTTCCTACACCCTCCCCATGGCAGCACACGCCGAGCCCAGGCAGTGCCCTGCTACTCCAGCACCTACTCCTACAGGAATACAGGGAATTAGGGCATCTCCAGAGAGTGATTTAGCTCAGCTGGGGTGATTTACCTTCTAGAAACACTGACCTCCTTTATATATCTGTAGCCTGTGAGGTGAATCCCACCCATTAGCATGATAAGAGCTGCTGGTCAGGGCCAGCCTGGCAGCCATCCTCACTGCCAATCCTTCTGGAAGCATCAGGCCATCCTCCTGCTTCTACCTGCACGGGAAAAGAGGCCAGGCCATGAACAGAGCAATCCTTTGAACTCCCTCCCAAAGTGGATTTGAGCACTTTTGGTGCTTGATCTAATTGTTTGGTGCATTTGTTCCCTGTGACTCGCCTTGAGCCACTTCCCTCCCAGGCAGGGTGCCGACACTCTGACCTGGGCTTGTCAAAGGCTAAAATGCTATTTGAGCAGATATAAAATATGCATGAGGTCTGTGACCTAGTCTATAAACCCCTGTACAGCCCGAGGCAGTGCCTTTGTGGAGGAGCTCAGAGACATTGCAGGTTCCCACTGCAAAAATCAAATGAACGTCAAAAGAAGGCTCAAAAAACTCGGGCGAGAGCGACTCTTCCCCCTGAGATCCCCCCTCCACTTCCCTTTGTGACAGCTGAACACGGCAAAAAAAGGAGGAACTTTTAAGCGTTTCCATCTTCTCCTCAAAGCTCAGCCTAATTGAGTGCTAACAAAAGAGAAAATGCTTTCTCCTCTCCGGGCAGGCGGCGGCTGGAGCAGAATGACAATTCCAGCTGTGAGGAGACATCCAGCTCTGGCAGACCTGAACTCATCTGGCCACCCACTGCCACCATAGCATGAGAGGTCTGTGTGTCCAGAGCCAGCTCTGGCAGCCCAATCCTGCATCTCAGTGGCTCCTGGTCACCTCCCACCACCTTAACACGAGGGATCCCGAGGGATCCGCGTGTCCAGTGCCAGCCCCGGCACCCAGCAGGGACTTGGAATGTGCTCGTCCCTGGTGCTTCTGCAGTGCCTTCCATCTGAGACTCCCAAAGTGTAATTAGATCTCCCAGCACCTGCATTGGGGATGGGAATTAATTCTGTTATACCACTTAGAGGGGAAAGAGGTGGAAGGCAGGATGAATTTGTGGCAAGGGAGCAGCAAAGCCGGGAGTGATCCACAGGGGGGGATGATTCTTCCCACTGCAGGAGGAAAGGGAGGACAGGACAAGGGGGAAGCATTTAAACTGACAGAGAGTGGGTTTAGATTAGATATTAGGAAGAAATCCTTCCCTCTGAGGGTGGGGAGGCCCTGGCAGAGGTTGCCCAGAGAAGCTGTGGCTGCCCCACCCCTGGAAGTGTCCAAGGCCAGGTTGGATGGGGCTTGGAGCAACCTGGGCTGGTGGAAGGTGTCCCTGCCCATGGCAGAGGGTGGGAATCAGATGATCTTTACGGTCTCTTCCAACCCAAACCATTCTCTGACTCTGTATCATTATTCCTGGTGCTCAGCCCACAGCCAAGCCTATTCCCAGGAGCAATAAAGGCGAGGAGGCAGTCATAAAACTGCAGTAATCAAATGTGAAAAGAACAGCCCAATTCATTAATACCCAGACAAGCTGATAGAGACATTCTTAATTATCAAATATTACCATGGAGTTCATTTTTACCTGAGTTGTTTAAGCCTGACCATCCTCCTTCCCTTTCCTTAGACACGTTGCCCTGGGGCAGCACTGAACATTTGTAATTAGATTCCTTCAATGGAGTTAATTATGAAGTGACAATAAAGCCTGAATGGTTCCCATTTTCATAAGTATTATCTGGAAGTAAAAACAAATCCTTTGTTTTGGTATCAATATTTGTAATTTTAAGTCTGACATGAACCTTGGGGTGTACTCTTGATACAAACAAGTACAGACACATTCCTGCTGTATTATGCTGTACATCTTCTTTATATTGCATTATAATACTTTCACATTCTTTTATATAAACTTGCCTGCACAAACCTATCTATATACTGGAGCAGAGACAAGATTTCTCTTTGGGATGATCTCTAAATTAATTAATGAGTTTTCATCAAGTTGGTATCAGATTGTAGCAACATCAATACTTTGCAGGTTCCAGGTTGACCTGGCACCTGGGGTAATTTGCCTTATATTTTATTATTATTACTATTAAAATTTAATTACATTTTAAATCTTATAACCCCAGCAGGTCCAGATTGTCCCATGGAACGAGTCTGGATTCAAGAGGAAGGGACTTAATGTGGTTATTAGTGATGTGCTCCATTTTAAACAATGAAGTGTCCATCAACATGAAGCTAAATTTCCATTACAAATGAGTTAGCCACTTAAATATAACAAGACCCTGCATAAATAAAGGGCATGAGATTTTTGTGGCCATTATTGCCAGTTTAAGATCACTGTCTGATTTCATACAATTATTTGTCACCCTCTAGCTAAGCAATAACAGAAGGGAAAAGATGCTGAAATTTAAACAGGTCAAAATTAATGCCACGACTGTATTTGATAATTGAAAGTGTCACCTCCATTAGCTCACTCTAGTAACCAGGCTGGAAAAGCCAGGACCAGGAATGTCCAAAATCTCCACAATTTCCAGAGTGACAGTGATTAAGCAACAGGGCAATCCCAGACAATGAAATAATTCCCAATTCAGAAGGGAAAATAAAAGCTGGTCAAGGGGATGCCGAGGGTGCAAAATGGGGGGGATGAGGGGAAAATCAAGACTATTTTGCTGCTGTTCCAGAGGGAAAATCAGCCCCAGGCAGCCCAGAGAGCAGAGACAGCCCAGCTCAGTGCTGGAACATCGAGGATGTTTGCTGGGATACAGGAACTCCCCCCTGGAAGATCCAAACCTGCTGTTCTCCTGATGCCTTCCACAGACATGGGAAATGAGAGAGGGATCTAAGCCATCTGCATTTTATCTAACCTTTATTAAGCATCACTTGACCTTGTCAGTACTGATAAAGCCCTGCAAAGTGCATGCCAGATAAAATGTAATTTTTAATTGAGTACCCTTATTACATCTATTAACAAGGTGCAGATGAATACAAATGACCCCACGGTCGATGCTGTCGATTCACGTTGAGGTTTCTTTTGCCTTTGCTGAGCTGAAGGAGTCAATAACCTCTCAAAGGGGGCACAGGGAGGGGAGATGTTTCCTGGCAGCAGCTGTCCTGCCTCCAGTGTCTATCCTACAACACAATGGCCACGAGAAAACCAGCACAGGGATCAGCATCTCCAGAGATCTCCTGTAAAACACCCCACCTGTCTTCTCCAGCCCTGAGGAAAGCCCTGGGAACCTCAGACCAGTTCCTGTTTTATTCTTGGTATAAATTTATACTAACCCAATGCACAGGTGAAAAACAGTCTCCTCTTTTATTCCCTAACTCACAAATCATGTGAAAATCCACTCAGTATTGGGTGGTCACAGGCAGCTCCAGCACTGGAATGGTTACAGGACTTCCAGCAAGAGAGCCCATGGGATTGTTCTGCAGAGGTTAAAATCCAGAGGTTTCAAGTGGGAGATGGCAGGATGTGGCCAAACTGCCTCCCTAAAAGGTTCATGTCAAGATTTGCTCTCAGTTTGAGGGAAATAAGACGAAATGACCTGCCTGAGGAGCAAACTGCTGCACTGACATGATATATTTGCATTAGCTTCAAACGGGAGCAGCTTCCCATCAACCCATCAGCTCCACACTCAAACAAGCGGATTCAGTGTCAGATGTCTATAAAAACTACATCTTGGGGCTGCACTGAACTCCCTGCTGTGATCCACAGTGTGCCAGGCCTTCCCCTTCTGGGTTAGATTTATCCATTTTAGTACCTAATTTAGAAAGGGAAAGAAAAAAACCCCAACCCTAAGTTCCTTCAGAAAAAGCAGTGAGACTTCTTGTTCCATATCCACATGTTTCTCCTTTAATGCTTCCTTAAGGGTCTCCATTTTTCTGTCACTTATCATCATCCAGAGTAATTTTGGGCTGTTAGAGAAAGTTCATTGCTGTAATTGCAACCATATTGGTCATTAAAGTTGACAGACAGCTGCTGGAGAAGTCACTTGCGGATTCCTGCTACTCAGCAGATGCCTCTCAGCGTTTGCTAAAGTGTTGGTTTGGATTTATGAACTGGAAGCAAATGCATTTCACCTTAAGGACTGATGATTTCAAAGAGAGGAAAACAAGAAGAACTCGTCCAGGTCTTTTGTTTGTAAACAGGGTTTGTCTGCTCCTGCTCTAACTAGAGTGGAAGTATCCAGTGTTTCCTGCGGTCTCTAAGACTGCTGATGTGCCCACTCTGCCTGCAAGGATTGGGGACCCCCATCCAGCCCAGCTGCACCCCAGTTTCACTAGACAGGGATTATTTCCAGATGCTCCATCCCTGGAAGTGTTCAAGACCAGGTTGGATGAGGCTTGGAGCAACCTGGGCTAGTGGAAGGTGTCCCTGCACCCAAAGGAGAGCTTTAAGATCTCTTCCAACCCAAACCCTTCTGTGATTTCCACTTACCCATTTCTTGCTGGTGGCATTCAGTAAGTAAATATTCTTCACTTTACACACCACATGTTAGAAAATAAGGACCCACTCAGGAGGGCTTTTTTAACCAGTAAACTTTATTTATATATAACAACAGTACAAAGTGAGTCCTTGGCTTGCAAAATAGGAGTGTTTCATATTTACAATAGGTACACAATAATATATTAGAATAATAACAAAACCCCCTTTTTTTTTCCTTGGAACATTTTTAAATACTTAAACTTTCTTACATTTTTTTTTCCACAACACTTGTAAAAACAACAAAAAACAGACAATCATCTTAAAAAAAAATATAATACAGAACTCCAGTGTGTCAAGTATAATGGGGAGGGGAGGAGCCAGAGAACGATACGGTGGAATGGGTACGGATCCAAACCAATTCCTTATTTCTGCCAATACACAAATCCCCTAAAACTCTGTTGGTTTTAAAGAGGGGAAGGGGGCAGAGTAAATCAGAATCTGTTCCATGGCTGATACCTCTACATTCTGTGATGGTTTTGGGGACTCCAGAAGCTTTAGTACCTGTACATTCCCTTCCCCTTCCTGCTTCCCACCGTAACAGCCCCCAAGGTGCCATTAACACCAAAACACTCATCAATAAGAGAAGGACATTTTACTGCATTATCTTCTGAAGCCATGAAATAACGTGGCAAAATCAGCTCATTTACCTTCCAAAGTCTCCTTTTCCAGGTGCACCTTTGTGTCCATGGGATGGAAACACTGGATGGAGAAGCTGTTGCATAAACTTCCAAGCTTATTCGAAATAGAGGTATTAAAAAAAAAATCTCAAAGGAAAGGCCATACAGGAGATCTCGTGTTTGATTTGGCAGCCTCAGGAGGCCCAGAGAGTTTGGGATATTGTCCGTGCAGTTGGATGGACCCTGCAGGTCTCTTTGAGCGTGTTCTTCGGCGCTGCAGGAACGTCTATTTTTTTTTTTTTTTGGGATTATATTCCACTTTTACAAAGAAAGGAGAGGAATGGGTAACACGGGGGCAAAGGGGGATCTGAAAGAACAAGCACACAGACACCACCATGCTCACAGCATGGCCAGAACACCTTCGGTTGGGCTGCTCCTGGTGCCACCCCAGCAATGTGGGCACAGATGCCCAGGTGGGACTGGAGTGACTTTTCCAGCAAGGGAGCAGTTGGGCTCTGCCATCCCACACTGCCCCGCTCCTTCACCTCCCCATCTCCCACCCTGACATGGCCCCAGCACTCAAAGCACCCTGGGGTGCAGGATATGCACCACAGACCCCCAGTTTTCTTCCAGGAGCCAGGAAGGCACCAGGTACCACCCGCAGTTGGGACTCCGGCCTCTGCGCCATGCCCAGAACTGGAGCACCGCCTGAAGCCGGGGCTTTTCATGGAGAGCAGAGGCTTTGCACAACCAAAATCAGTTTGAAGGCTCCCATCCTCCTCCCCTGCAAAACTAATCTGACCAACCTCCCCTGACACTGCACACGGAGGGTTGCTCAGCTCAGCAGAGCCCGAACAGCACACACGGGGCATTGTTCGCTCCAGTTATTTCCCCACCGAATGTCTCGTTAATAAAACCAAGCCCTCCTGCCCACGCAGGTGCTGAGTGGCCTCAGAGCTGTCAGCAGTGCTCTGCCTGCAGCCTCTGCCCTGCTGCTCTCAGTGGTACTGGGTGAAGGCTTGGGGTGGTTGTGGGTGTTTTCACCAAAGACACATTCAGGACAGATGGGACTGTGCTCCGAGCTCCACCTCACACACAACTATGTACAATGTCACAGCTCCCTGCACCACTGGCTTGCGATTTATGGTACAAATGTGGCTCTGAAATACAATGGCTGAAGCTCTGTGGCATTTTAATGCATCTTTGATGCCAGTTATTTACCCTTCTCTGAACATTTTTTCTTCTCTCCAGGGCACAGTCACACGTGAGCTCTCCCTGATGGCCCAGCTTTTTCAAGTCAGTCTATTTTAGTTCCATTTAGTTGGGCCAGCTGAGTCCCCATGACAGGTGAGCTCTGACAGCACAGGAAACTGGATGGAGAAGAGCCAGTGACAGGAGAGAACGTGGCTGGGCTGCTGCCAGGGAAGGGGCTCGAGGCACAGGAGCATCACAGGGAGCTGCTCTGCCCTTTGCCAAGCTGGGTGAGGGCAGCAGGCAGGTCAGTGTTCCTCATACCCACTGGCTGCTTGGGGCTTCCGGAAATGAGACCTTGTGCCCACTGGAGGAGGGGAGTGCTCCCACCCTTTCCACACAGGCTCAAACAACTTGCGCTGAGGGGCTCAGAGTCAGCATCATTCACAAACGCAGCCCCAGAGCTTTAAGTGCTCTTGCTTTCATCCTCCACGTGCCCACCCGAGTTGTTTCCTGCATTATGACATTTTTGGTGAAGTCCAGTTGAAGGCAGGAGAGAAAACTTACGTGGGGACGGGCCATCAGGATTTTAAGACAGTGTGTTGAAGGCACTGCTGTGATGAAGGTCTCTGTTGCCACCGCATCAGGTGGCTGCACTCACCATCCTCAGAGTGTCACAGCACCGAGACCTGCAGGAAGGCATCATGTCCAGCACGGCCACATCCAGCCTCCTTCAGGGATAAACACATGGAATGCTGCTGGGATGCTCCCCACCAGCAGCGAGGCCGTGGCAGCAGTTTTGTTTCTCAGCGCTGGTCCCTGGGGTGGGTCCTCACGCAGCTCCAGACTGGTCCACGCTGGATCTCACACGGTTTCCAGCGCTCTGGCTGTGCTGATCCCTCCTGCCTCCCTTTACACATAAATTCATCCTTTATGGCAAAGCGTGGACCACTTGATGTCCACATCCTCCGTGCTCCGGTGGGCTGCAGCGCTCCGCAGCGGGGCTCACGCCGAGACAAGCTCGCCTGTAAGTTACACTCCTGTATATGGGGTTTTTAATAAAGGCTTTCAAGGTGGAGAAGCGTTTGATTAGCACCTCGCTCCCCCTCGGAGTGGGTGCTTTGATAGCTCATGAGCAGAAGATTAAATGGAATTATTTAAGCGGCGACACCAGGCAGAGAGATTCCGGAAAAAATGACGTCTCCCACTTTGATGTTGGAACACCTGAAACGAAGTGAACTGGAGACTCTGAACACCAACCGACCTTGCAGGAGGAAGGGGGCAACGAGAGGGATGTGAAATCGTTTCATCTAAGGCAACTGCCCCCTCCTGACCAAACCTCGAGTCCGGTTTGCTGCAAGTGCAAAGGAAATGCTGTTTTGAGACCTGAAGCTTCCTCTTCCCAAAGGAGTAATGGAAATGATGGATGCAAACAGGGCAATAGATTACAAGTGCTTTGCCCCAAGGGGATATGTTGCTTCATTCCATATAATTGCCTGTAAAGATCCATAATTAATGTCAACCACCACGAGTAGATACTTGGCAGGTTATTTCTAGGCCACCCTTCCAGCCAGCACCGTGCTGTTCCCTCTGCTGTCCTCCTAATGCTTTTCCAGGTGATGGAAGTGGAGATGTTTTTTCTGCTTCCCTCAGAAGTCAGTCAAAAGTACAAGAACTCATTGGTTTGCAAAGTGCTCCTGCTGCTCTCCCTTTTCTCCTCTGCTCAAATTTTCCCCATAGCAAGGAAGATCAACTCAGTTGTCCCCTTCTCTCCTTAGTACTCTCCCAGAGAATCCAGGGGATGTTTGGGGACCTCCACCTCTGCTGAGAAAATACAGGGGAGTGGGGAATGACAAAACCTTGGCTTATGGGGTGCTCCTGGCCAGAAGGTAGAGAGCAGGAGGAGGAAAGCAAGCTTAAAATGGCTATGCAAAAGCCTCTCAAAGAGATGTAGAGAAGAGGACCATGAAGGCTGGCTTGGCTGTTGGGCAGGCACACAGTTCCCAGACCCAGGTGATGCAAAGCCAGGCCTCTGCTTTGGGCAGTACTCATATTTTGTGAATCCTGCAGAGATAATTGTTCAGACTGTGTTTGGAAACAGTTTGGGAACTATTTGGAGTTGCTCTCTTTGGGTTTCAGAGTACCATGACAATTTGGTGAATGATCTGAGTACGAATGCCCAAAACAACCATCACAGCTGGCACACAGACCTGGAAATCCCTCAGCTGAGCTGTGTGGTGGATCCCGGTGAGCAGCAGCAACAGAACCAGCAAAAAACCCCCAGGATTTCAAAGCCTGACCCTCTGCAATGTCCTGTGAGACCCACAGCAAAGAGCAGGCCAGGCTGGTGGCTGCTCCAACGCCATCCCCGGCGCTGGGCTCTGTGATGCCCAACAGGACAACCCAGACATTTGCACATTTTCTGCCTTTGACGTTAGATTCACTGTGCAGGAGCAGGATTCCTGGGAAGGGAACTCCCCAGTAACAGGCAGTATGAACCCTGCTCCGCCTGGCAGTCTCTGTTTCTGACACTCTCTCCGTGTCTCAGTAAATCCAGTGCTCAGGCCATTGTAAATGTCAAGGACTTATTGCACAAGGTTGATCACTGTCATCAGTATTTTCTTCCAGAATATTAACAGGGCCCAGAGAAACTCACAGGAGTGGATTTTGCCAAAAGAAAGCGGGCTTGGCATGGCTTTTACTGAATGGTAATTAAACCAACAGGTTTCCTGAGTATTTCTCTGCATGCTTTTCTCCCCTCTCCTCTTGCTGAACTGCAAGAGACCGAAAGCCAGCAGCTCTCTGGTGCCCAGGGAGCCCGTGGTGACCCTGCTGGGCTCCTCTAGGCAGGAACAGTGGAGGAGTGGGATGGATATGAAAATGGATTTTCCTTCGACACACGCTGGCTGCAAACTAAGGTCCCAGTCTGGTGTGGCCCTGCCCGGGCAGGCTGAGCAGATGCCAGGAGCTATTTTGGTGCCACTGCCAAGCTCATGCAGTCAATACTTGTATTTCCATCAGACCTCCTCACCCTGCCCTCCCCGCTGCAGCCTGCACACATATCAGTATTTACTACAGAGAGAAATATTTACAGCGTTCCTTCCCCTCCTGGCACTCTACAAAGGGACACACATAAGCTTTGGTGTCTTTGAAAGGAATAACACTCACAAACATTTGCCTGTCACTGGCCACAAGAACACGTGCTGGGGGGACCAGCAAGGGACTGAAGAGAACAATGAGACGCTGAGACAGAGACACGACAGCAGCGCTGGCTGGCCTGCGGGTGCTGGTTAAGGTTTGCCCTTGCCTAGAGCAGAGATTTCTTTCCCCTTTCCAGTGGAAATACAAGTCCTGACCCTGGGCAGTGTGGCAGAGAAACCCAAAGGGAGCCTGTGCCGACCGACTCCAAACAGAAGAGCAACAAATGTCTCCTCTCGTGACGTCCAGGCTTTTCAAGTATCACCCACTGTAAACATGGGGGTTTGTCGGGTTTTACTGCAAGAAATGGGAGGTGGCTGCAAGAAACCCCCAAAATCAACCCTGGAGGCATCATCCCAGCTCTGCCCGGGGGGGCTGGGCTCACGTGGGACCAGCAATGGGATACTGGATGGGTCACTGCTGGATCACCTCAGCCATGCTGGACACTGCCAGATCACTGCTGGATCACTGTGGCCATGCCAGGCACTGAGTGGATCACTGCTGGATCATCCCAGCCATGCTGGACACTGCCAGATCACTGCTGGATCACCACAGCCATGCCAGGCACTGAGTGGATCAGTGCTGGATCACCACAGCCATGCCAGGCACTGAGTGGATCACTGCTGGATCATCCCAGCCACGCTGGACACTGCCAGATCACTGCTGGATCACCACAGCCAGGCGCTGAGCCCATCCCTGCTGGATCACCGCAGCCACTGCGAGGTGGAATGGGGGTAGAAATGGGAAAAAAGCATTTAAATTCCGATCTTTCCTCGTTCGACAGCAAATGGGATTTAAAAAAAATATATATATTGACACTATATAAATACATCGATAAAGCTGGATTTCAGGACAGGTCGGATGATCTGATGGTTTTGCAATTCAGGTAAAGTTCCTTCTAGTGCCTATAAGTTACTCAGCCACTGAACTATTTTCGGGCTAAACTGCTATTTCACTTTGTGTAGAAAGGTGTGGTGCAAACTTGTGCTCACGTTGTTTTATAAGATCCCAAAAAGAAGACGATTTCGGTTTTCCAGACATTCCAACTGGTGTGAGAGTCCGTTTGCAGAATGTCTGAGCCGTGTCCTCAGGAGGCTCTCGAGGACAGGATTCAGAGCTGATCCTTGTTGCCAGGATTATCTCTATGGCCTCTGTGGTTTTTGCTCTATTTTCTTTTTTTTTTTTGTACTTTTTCTTCCTTTTCTTAAAAAAAAAAAAAGCCTTTAAATAAAGTTTTATTTTCTAATATACATCAAACAATTTTCATGCAAAGCAGCAGTCACGGAGACATCCAGACTTTCCAGGTTCCTTCTTTCTGTGTATGCTCGAAAAAATGATCCACCTTGATCGGACTTGGATTGAGATGTTTTATCTTCTTCTCTTCCTGCTTTTCAAACCGGTTCCTACGTGATTTTTGAACACAGTCAGTCCTTGGGCCAATCTCTGTTTGCTCCAGAAGAGCCTTGGTATTTGTGTCCAGTGCCTTCCTTGCTTGTTCTCCCTCTAAATTCCCGAGAGTCCACGTGATCCTCTGCCCTTTGCCGGCCTTGAGCACCACGACCTTTCTTCAGCTCTCAATAGACATGGCCCCAATAAGTTGCTCTACTTTGTAAGCCAGCCGCTGCCTACGTGCCTGTTCATCCTGCTCCAGAGCCCCGATGAGCTGGGGGAGAGAAAATAAAACGGGGGGGGGGGAAATAAACAGAGAAAGAAGTCAGTGTGTGAGAGAGGGGGTGGAGGAGGTGGGTGGGCAGCGAGATGTGAGCAACTTGAGACGGGGAGGTGTGAAACTCAAATAAATGGCGAAGCAACGCGCCCAGCGCTTCGCCGTTGGTTCGTTGGACCGCTCGATACCCGCACAACAAAATCATTCCCACCCTCCCCTGTACCTTGGACTCCACAACATTTCTTGTCTCGTTTAGCACGGAACTGATGGGATTTTTTTTAAGCCCTTTAATCGGAAAATAGCCGTGGCATTGTATCGCAAACGCACACACGCAATTAAATGACAAAACCCTCCCTTTTAACGGACGTAATTGCAAAATAAGGTTCTTCTCGCGGCGAAATGAAGGGGTGGAACAGATGGCGAGAACTTGGTTTCAAGTGATGCATTCATTAAAGGAGCTCACGCTGCCAGGGTGTCTTTGCAAACAGGAGTCTGCGTCACTGCAACATGGGATTTGGACCGCGCTCTTCCCAAAAGACAGGGATGTTTCTGGGGAGCTTCAGTGGGTCATGATGATTTTCTGCTGCATTAAGGAGCAGGCTGCACCGGGTGCATGCCAAGGCTGAGGAATCCAGGTGCTCCCACAATATTTTAGCTCTCAGTCCTCCTGGGATTGTGCTGCAGGACCCAAACCTCTTTGTGCACAAAGAGAACAGCGGGACAGCAGCGCTGCCAGCTACGGCCACGCTGCACCAAGGGCAAGGGGAGCTCTGGGTGGCAGCAAGAGGGATCACTGCACGACCCACCACTGCACTGAAGTGCATCTGGTCTGTCACACACACGCCGTGGGACAGCATCACCCCAGGGGACACCATGGCTGCAGGGAACACCATTCCCCCAGGGGACACCATTTCCCACGTGACACCATTGCCTAGGGGACACCATCACTCCAGGGAACACCATTTGCCCAGGGGACACCATAGTCCAGGGAGCACCACTGCTCAGAGGACACCACCACCCCAGGGGGTACCTTTCCCCACGTGACACCATTGCCCAGGGGACATCATCACTCCAGGGAACACCGTTTGCCATGCGGAGACCATCACCCCAGGGGACACCACTGCCCCGGGGGACACCCAGGGGACATCACTGCCCAGGGGACACCCACCTCTTCGCTGTACTTGCTGACATAGGAGTAGATCTCGTTGAGGGCACTCAGCATGTTGAACTCCACGGCGTGCAGGCGCGACTGCTCGGCGAGGTAGGCGTTCATGTCCTGGTCGCTGATGGCGGGGAGCTTGGCGATGTCGGCGTAATACCTGCGGGAAGGAGAGGCCAGGGGAGGGCATGTGAAACACAGCGGCTCAAAACGCTCCTATTCCCCTTGGGATTTAAACTGAGCTCTGCGGGGAAAAGAACATCATTTCGCTTCATGTTTGAGCCTTGAAAACAGGATTGTGGTCTGTAACAAGCTGAAAATAAGAGCAGCGATGCTCGGCGGGGCTGCAATCATCAATGATCCTTGTGAGTCCCTTCCAGCTGTTCTATATCCCCTTCCCAACATTCTACTCTGTGATCACCAGCCATGGGAGGTTGGGCTGGAGCAGAGCACCCCCCACCCACACTGCTGCCCACCTCTCCACCCAGCTCTTGTAGCTGGGGATGTCCTTGGCGTACAGCAGCTTGTTGGAGGGGGAGTCCTTGCCCAGGCGGTGCTCCGAGGTGGAGCAGGAATCCATGAAGGTCTGAGCCACGACGGAGAGGCAGGCGTCCGTGATGCTGCCCTTGTGGATGTCGAACACGAACTGGGGGTTTTTGATTACGTTCACCCAGAATCGGAGGGGGAGGCTGGAGGGCAAGCGAGAAACAAAATTAGATGGGGAGACAAAGGCTGGCAAAGGGCACATAGAATCACAGAATCATAGAATCAGCTGGGTTGGAAGGGACCTCCAAGATCATCAAGTCCAACCCTTGATCCACTACTGCTGTGGTTCCCAGACCATGGCACTGATGCCACATCCAGTCTTATCTTAAAAACCTCCAGGGATGGAGAATCCACCACTTCCCTGGGCAGCCCATTCCAATGTCTGATTACCCTCTCTGTAAAGAAATTCTTCCTAATATCCAACCTAAACCTCCCCTGGCACATGCTGCGGATTGTGTTCCCAGGCAGAGTACAAATGGTGGGAAGAATAGGAATAGAAGAATTTGAACAGGAGCTGGGCCAGGGGCATCAAGCACCAGTTAGCCCAGTGCTGCCCAGATTGCTGGATCCTGCCATGCCTGTGCTGGGCACTGCTGCTCCCGGAGCCGCTCTGGGCTTTGATCCCGCACAGTGGAGGAGGTGCAGGGCAGGAGGGCAGGTTGGCTGTGCTGGGGCAGAGCTGGGCAGCATTTGGGGGCTCTGGGGGAGCATCTCCGTGAGAAGCCCATTAAACTGAGTTGGTTAGAGTGGATGGATGCAGCACGGGGTGAGCCTGGGGCAGCTGCCCCCGCGCTAATCAGCCGCTGCCCGGCCACGCCACGGCCCATCATCCACGGGAGGTGCAGCAGCATCAGAGGCTTTGTCCCCAGATCCCGAGGCCTTTGCAATCAAAGGGGAATTATTATTCCTTTTTTTCTTTGGCTGTATAGCAGGATCAAAAAAACAGCTGCTGCTTTCTATTACCTTTCAAGTCTCAGCCCTCTCTGTCTCTCCAGCTCGCTGAAGGCTGCAGCCTTAACTCTTGCTGCACTGCAGGCGAGCGGCTCAGCCACATCCCCAGCACGTCCAGCTCCCTCTTCCAAGCCTCCATTTGCTTTGACCTGCTCCAGTGGCACAAGCCCGCTCCCATCTCCCCACCAAAATTCCCTTCCTGGGAATGCTGCAGCTCAGCCGAGCCCATCATGCCCCGGGGAGAAGGAAGGGCCAGGGCTCATGGGGTGTGATGCCCCTGGCAGGTCAAACTCTGATGGTCATTGTTTCCTTTTTTTATTGCTTTAAGAGGTCTCATAATTTCTTGTTGATTCCACAATTTTTACCCCAATAACTCCTTCTTCTGAGGCTTTCAAGGAATTGTTTTGAGCTTCCCACAGCCTTAGTGGGGAACCTGGCTTTTGCAGCCACGATGATTAGAGGCCTTTTAAGCCACGAGGGACTCAGGGGGGGAAATACAAAGTCTTTAGGAAGCAACCATTTGTTGTGCTTTTTTTCCTTCCTTGCAGAGGTAAATTTACAACCCATGGAGCCTTTAATCCTAAAATAACAGCAGAGGCAGAGATGTGAGAGCTGTTATTGTTTGGAGAAGGCCGATGGCACATGGGGCTGGCTCCTTCCCCCCGTGCCACCTCCTCCTGATGCCCAAATGCTCCAGCTGCTGCCTGAAGTGATGCTAAAGGTGCAGCCACTGGCTGAGCTCTCCCCTCCCAGCCAGTCCTGGCATTTGTGCCACAGCAGGGTTGTGCAGGCAGGGTGGTGTGGGCATGGAGCCCTGCCTCCCACTCACAGACTGGCTCTTTCCAAAGTGTGGGAATCAGAGGCTGGTTCCAGCTTCCACCTGGGCAGAGGACTCAGAGATAGCTGGGCTTGTGCTTTAATACCCTTCCCTTCCAAATCAGGATATTCTGTGATTCTGTGATTCCACGAACACCACACTGGCAGCCCAACCCAGGATCAAACCCCACTGCCACATCCACAGAGGGCACCGGGGCAGCATCAGTGCTGGCTGAAAAGCATCTGCATGGCTTTGTGGCACATCTCATGCTCTGAACCTGCATGGCTCCACAGAATCACAGAATCAGCCAGGCTGGAAAAGACCTCTGAGATCATCAAGTCCAACCTTTGACCCAACACCACCTTGTCTACTAGACCATGGCACTGAGTGCCACATCCAGTCTCTTTTTAAATCTCTCCAGGGATGGTGACTCTGCCACCTCCCTGGGCAGCCCATTCCAATGCCTGATCACTCTCTCTGTAAAGAACTTCTTCCTGATGTCCAAGCTAAACCTTTCCTGGCACAGCTTACGACTGCGCCCTCTTGCCCAACTTGGTGGTCCCCAGCCTTCCCAAAGCAATTCCCCACCTCCGTTTCACCCTGGGACACAGCTAATTGCTCAACACTCGGACCTGCCTTCCCCCTCTTACCAATTGCTCTTCCATGTGTGCCTCACATCCGTGTCGTGGATGCCGTGCTTGTCCGCCTGCTCATCCAGGAAATCGAACATGTACTTGATGGCGAGCGGGAGCGCGCTGCCGCGGTGCACGGTGCTGAACAGCGTCTCGAACAAGTCGTCCACGAACTTCTGCAGAGTTCCCTAGAGGGAGCAGCAACCCAGGGGGTGAGGGGAGGGACGGGCACACGCTTGGCCAAGCAGCCAGATGTTACCAGCCCCTCAAAGTGCCGCCACAGACCCCACAGGAATAAGCGAGGTCGGGGTCTTTCCGAGCGCTGACTGCTCTGGAGGATCCCTGGGGAAAGCTCTGCCCTGCAGCTACTCAGGGCTGAATTTACTCTTTATTTCTAACCTGAAACCATTTTTTTTTTTGGCTTTCCAAAGCACATCTGTGTCTCATCCACAGTGATGAACATGGGAGGAGAGATAGGAAAACTCTCTCTGGTCAAGGAAACCGGGTAAATATTTGCAGGCACTGCTGCATCTCTCTTTGTGTTTTAATACTGTGCAAAAGAATGAAGAATTGCAGCAACAGCCTTAAGTGTGGGGAAATCTGGGCCATGGTTCTGTTGCTGCTCCAGCACCCACTCAGTCCCAGGAAAACCCAGCAGGGACAGACCTCCTGGGAGCTGAGCATCATCAGGGGCTGCACAGGACCCCTCCAAGTGTCTGTGGATGAACCTCACTGTGCGTTTCCCACGCGAATCCAGTGCAGGGCAGTTACCTTTGTGGCCAACAGCCTGGTCAGGTAGATCTCAGACACCATCTTACTGCCCCGGTCTCCCTCCTTCTGGTCTCCATGGTCGTGGTTTTTGACCAGGTGCCAGACCTTGACCCCGCTCTCCAGGTCGGGGGTGATCATGGGGGCCCGGGAGCGCAGGCTGTCGGGGCTGCCGGTGTAGCGGAAGGTGGAGTCTGGACGGTGGGGAGAGAAGTTGGTCACACTCAAAGCAAACCCCTTTTCCACTCCCCTGTCTCTTCTCAGTGACACCACCACGTTTGCTAACGCCCAAACCACCTGCACTGGCTTTTTTATGGGGTGATGAAATGTAAAACCACTCAGATACCAACAAAATGTTGATATGTGTTGGTCTCCACTGAATAGAGTCCCTCAGACTTGAGCTTTTCTCTGTTCACACTCAGACATGGACTTTCCTGCTCCATTCACATCCTTTGCTTATGTCAGGCCCACACAAGAATTGTCCATGAGCTCACACACATTAACCCCGGGCACCAACTCCTGCAGCGCCACAGTCCTGCGTTCTGTCCAGTATTCTGCAAATAATAAAAACCCTGCCCAGCACAACGAGCACAAAGGGCAGAAGAAACTGCTGGTCTTGTCCTTGAGGCTTTCAGGAGAGCAGCAAGGGCTCAAGCTGAGCATCAACTGCAGAGCCCGAGGCCAATCCTGCACTCCAGCCGTCCCATCCGTGGGTTGAGCGGGTCCAGCCTCCTGCTGTCCCCCCTGCCCTGAAGGGAAAGGGGAGCTCAACAGGAGGCAGGCAGACAACAGTCTTTCCCTTAATTGCTTAGGAACCATGGAGGGATGTGACATATATTTATTTACGTATTTAACTTCCCAAAGAATGTGCCTCCCTGGATCCCATCCACGGCGTCTCCAAGCTGAGACATGAGGCTGAGGAGCCCGGCTGTGCCTCGCTGGGTTTTTTCCTCTCACTAAATTCCTTTGTTCTCTGGAAACCTTGTGGATTTTCTCAAGTTTAGCCTTCAATTCACTGCTCACCCTCCTCGTCAAGAGTACGGGGATCAATCATAAATCAGCCGAGGGAAATACTCAAGTCATTACCAAACTAGCTGGATTTTCATCCCTGATTAAGGCTTAGATAAATGAGTACTCCAACTGATATAATTAAGGAGACAGACAAAGGGACAGCTAGGAAAGCATCTAGTAATTCTATTTTTAAACACAGCTCCGTACTGATATATAACAGGGGAAGTAAATAAGTATCTAATTTAAATTCTGTCAGCACAATTAGAAATATTAATCTTAACATGAGCAATGATCCCTCATATTGGTAGTTTGCAAAAGCTTTGCCAGCTGACATAGATCAATGAGCTGTAAGGACTCAGGTTGTGTGACCCAGCCTTGGTTTTTCCATCCCCTGAAGTGTGGGATGTGCTGGACATCCAGGGGATCTACACCATGCAGGGAGAAATGCCTTTTCTCCTGGACTTTACCTAAAGACTGGCCTATTTTTGGCTCCTCAGAACCCTTGTTCAAGGAAAAAAACCCAACATTATTTTGGGAGCCATAAACAAGAGAAGGAGACGGGTTTGTCAGGAGACTTTTTGCTTGTAAAACACTCTGCAAAATGAACGATAATGAAAGATCAGCGCACCAGAGATTTTGCCACTGCTGCCTTTTATGGAAGTATATTATTACTATTATTGTGGATTTAGTGTTATAAACGCACACCTGGCACCTCGCAGACTCATTTACTCAGGCTGCAGCATCTTCAGGGACCCTCTGGAATGTGCTGAGCCCTGCTATTATGCAAATCCGGAATTCCCAGGTGGGCACATCCGAGTGCTCCGTGTTAAGATTGCTGTTCCCCATTTTGACCCATTAGCAAAGAACTCAGGATCCTCCACTTAGAGAAGGGAAAGGTGAGGGACTCAGGCTTTTCTGCCATGCAGGGGACACAAAGCTCTTTTCCTGTAGTGGGAGCCCCAGAAGGGCTCTGCATCACTCACCCCCTCTGAGACAAACAACTTTTCCAGGACGAACATTCCCAAAGGCTACTCATGTGCCTGGCATTCCCTTCTCCCTCCTCTCAGCTTCTCTGGTCTTTTTGCTGTTCTGCTCATAGATGGAAAAGCCTTTGCAAGGGAACACCAGCAGCCAAGGACATTTTCCCGTTGGGCACCCAGGTGTTCATTTTGGCTCGTGTGGGGCGGTTTTTTGGGGGAATCTGCTGCTTTTCCCCCACCTAATTCCTTGCAATACCCACCATTTCCCATCCCTTCTTACCATATCTGCTGATAGATGTCCGGGATATACTGGCAGAGGCAGGAATATTGTAGGAGGAGGTTTGCTTGGGAACGAGAGCCACGACTGAGCGGTCGGACACCTGGGGAGGCAAAGGAGGAGGAGGAGATCAGTGGGATCCACCGTCCACACTGGGATCACCAGCTGCTGATCCAGCAAATTCCGGGCAGAAGGGTGCCCAGGGTGGGCACAGGGAGCCACCCAGCCCTGGGAGAGCCCTGTGCTGGGTCTGCAGCAGCTCTACAGCCAGACCCTGAAGGAAAGGGGGTGATAAATCAAAGATTTATTTTTTTATTTGAAGATGCTTTTGGTCGTTCTGATTTAAGATTATGCTTTATCCAATAAAAATGAGAATCTCAAGAATTGTTGTGATCCAATTAAAGTAACAATGCAGAGGGAATAAAAGGGCTGTAATAACGTTATGGGCCATAAAACATTCCTATTAAACCATTTTTTATTTTAGCAATTTTTACGAACTTTAAAAGTTTGATTTACAGCTGAGCAAGTCATAAAGCCATCTTTCAGGGTATTTAATTGTTATCCCTTTATTGCTCCAGAGAAGGAATTAAACACTGGGAAGTCAAACTATAAATGAACATTAGTGCTAACAAGGTTTTGTTACAGCAGATTTTAGTAGCCATGTTTAATTTTATCCTCCCTATAAATCCAGTAGTCACTGGAAGTTTTCTAACTTATTCCCCTTAATTAAGAATCTGCAGGTTTCCAGGGAAGGGGCCTGAGTGGCTTTTAATTTTGAACTTGTGACCTGTCGTGCAGCCCAGCAAGGGAGCAGAGAACAGAGTCACCACAGTTTGCCAGGGCCAAGCCAACACACTTTTTAGAGGATCTGCACAAAAGAAATGCCTCTTCTTGCTGGAGGAATTTCTTTTGGGGCTAAATCCTCCATTATTTGTCAGGAGTCCTCTGAGGGACTCAGCATTGACCCTGTGCACGGGATGCTCCAGGTGTTTTTTGCTTCCCCAGCCTCTCCAGGTGTTTGTACAACACCTGCAGCCACAAGGTGAGCTTCACACAGTGCCCTGTGCTGCCTTTCAAGGCCATTCAGATGAAAGGTTTCATGGAAACGTGAGTTATTATTATTGCTGGTGATAGTGGAAATAATAGTCACTTGTGTTTCACGGCACAAAAGTGAGATATTTCTAAGAAAAAACACTCCAAACACCTCCATTATTTCCTTGTCTGCTCCTGCCTCACTTCATCCAATTTGTTAAGTCAATGGAAGAAATGATCAGTGCTGATATTATTTTCTTAGGCTGTTCTTAGCTGCCACTCCAGCTCAGTTCCACCAGGGAGAAACCCGAGCCCAGGGTGCTCCCATGGAGGAGCAGCTCCATTTCCACCAGGGCTGTGGTTAACTGGGAGAGAGGCATTAAAAATTCCACACACACACCCACATAAGAGCACTCTCACTCTCTAAATTTTGGGTCGAATGGCTCTTGTCAGCTAAAAACCACCAGCGTGCAAATTAGCATCAGATGTAACGCGCATTCGTTTCCCATCTCGCTCCGCTGCTGCCACACTCCCAGAAAGCCCCAGAGACGCCCCGGGAGCTGGCTGGCTGCTTTACAACTTTATAAATATTCTGATTATTCTACAAGCTGGAAACGTGGTGCACAAAACACCTTAAAGAGAGGAGAAATAAAACCTGGAGCGGGGAGACGGGAGCCCGGGCTGCGCCTGCGTGGGGCAGGGGGGACGCAGCGAGGATTCCAGCTCTGCCACCCTCGGCTCCCGAGTCTCATTTTCCACACAAATCTTCCCTTTGTCCTTCTAATTTTCCCTTTAAAACAGTTTTTTAGCCTCTTGGCCTCTCCAGACTCAGCAGTGGCTGACAGGTATTCATGCTCTGCTGCCTCTGAGTTAACCCTGCGTGAGCCACTGTAAATCATTTCATATTAAATTCAGTGTTTCATTTTTTCTTGAGCGAAACCACACGGGGTGAGACTCTCCCGTGGAGTTTAATAGCCATGAAGCCAAAAGGATATGACACAAATGTAATATAATTCCTTACCACACATAAAAGCTCCAGAGAATTTAACAAAGAATTACACCTATTTAAGCCATACATCTATTTTTACAAATGAAGAAATAAGCAGCAGGTGTACAATTCCCCGTATAATTTTATGAAGTGGTTCAAAAATATTAGAAAGATGAATATTTCTCTTTAAATCCAATTTGGTGTTGTATGCAAAGGCTTCCCGTGAAAAATCCATTTGATCAGTTATTATATTTTTGTCATTCTAATGTAGAAAACAAATGTAATAGTGTCAAAATCCAGTGGCCGGGGGTGGAGCTGAGAATCTCTTTGGAATTAAATAACTGCCCTCTGCAGAGGCCTCAGGGGACAGTGAGGAGGAGGGTGGTTTGGAGCCCTGGAGATGCAGGGAATGGGGCTGAGGAGGGAAGGGATCCCAGGAATCAGGAGCAGGGCAGGGCTGGGAGGTCCAGGGATGTTCTGGTCCCTCCTGCAGCCTCCCAGGTGAGAGCACCTCTCCAGGAGAGAGGGAGACATGGGCTGTGCATCTCCAACCTCCACGTGCAAACCCAGAGATCTCTTTGCCTTCAGATCAGAATAAAGACAAGACAGCTCTGAATAAAAGATGGGCAGAGCTTTAGAGAGCAAGCTTTCATTTTTTTTCCCCCAGAAATTTAGAAATCATCTTCACAAGTCCTCTGGAAATCTCCATATATTTTAATGGCTTGAACCACACCTGTTTCATGGGTAACATTCCTGTTAAATGGTGAGACAGCAGCGCTTGGAACTCAAATGATTTTATACTCTCTTTAAGCTGTGCCTTTGCCCATGTATTTGTTTTACTGTGTAGTCCTGGAGCATCTGTATTTTTGATACCTAATAAAAACATTTATTGCTCCCACGGAAAAAAGAAAAAAAACACAACCTGGTAGGAATAGCAAATATATATATATATATATTGCTGTTTGTTTTTGGCAAAAGCCTTGCCTTGACAAGATTTCTGCTGCAGTGAAGAGAAGTTGGCTCCTTTTTAATGAGTGAAACAGCTCAGTTGGGCTGTGCAGAGCTCGGGCCAGAGCAGGAAGACACGTGGCATCTACCTGGTTAGATGTTTGGTGGCAAACTTCTCCTTTCTTCCAGAGCACAGCTGACATTCAAATGGCAGGAAGAGCTGCAGCATCTTGAGTGCTGCAAGGGTTTTGTTTATTTTAAGGGTAAGCTTGTGGCTCAGCTTTTCCCACAGGCACTAAAATGAAAGTGCTCCCTCCCCCAGCATCCACCACACATCAGACAAGCACAGCTTTCACTTGTGACTTCCTCACGATGACTTTTAAAGATCAAGGCATAATAAAGTCTCTCTGCTTCCCTGCATGTTGGTTAATCCCTTGCAACTGTCAGGTAAAACAGATTTTAGGAACAATGGAATTAATCTGCACAACTCCTGTGACATTTTTTATGGCGATCTGTGTTTAAATCCTGGGGGCTGCTCGCAAAAGTTGACCCTCGAGGTTCTTTTTAACATGCACTGTGCATATTTATGCCATTCTCCTGCCTCGCTCCCTGATTACATGGCTCCTGTCAATACTGGCTCCCATTCAACTCACACAGCGTGAGTCAGGCTGATGGACTGGAGATGGTGTATAAACAGGGAAAGATGCCAGATTAAATACTAAACACTTCTGGGGAGGGAGTGATGGACAGGAGTAGGTTACGGGTCCCAATTAATGCAGTTATCCTCTGCTGCAGACAGGCTTTGAGGAAAAGCCTTTGATTCCCTGAAACCAAACCTTCCTCAGCCCCCTCTTTACCTCTCTCACAGCGTAAGGAGCCCTTTCCAACAGGCACTGCCGTGCCCAGAAGTTAAAGATGGCAACAATTCCTTAGGCCACCTCACCCACCCTGTCTGATGCACAACTGAGCATCTTCCCTGCCTTGCTTCACTTTATGTGACTTCAGTGACAAACCTCCTGAAACCTGACTTGGGGATTTAAGAGGTTTGATGTCAGGAAGGAGCTCTTGATATCCCCCTTTTGTTGACCTGGCCTCATCCTGCACCTCCCCACAGCACTCCCTCGGCCCTCCCGTGTGACAGCATTTGAAGTATTTGCTCCATTTCCCTTTTTCACTCCTTGCAAAATGCCCCAAAGTCAACACACAGGAGGAACATGAGTATGAGAGAGAAGCTGCTGCTACAGTTTGTGCTTTGCATCAGACCAGTGGCATTTGCAAAGCTCTGAGGGAAGGCAGAGACTCCCCTTCCTCCCCTGCTGCACCCCTGGTTGTCTCAGACCCCCCACCCAATGACCTGAACCCCCCTTGCCACCCCTTCCCTGGCCCCACATGCCCAGCAGTGGCAGCTCAGCCCTCACCACTGCTCCCTCCATCTCCCTCCCACGGCTGGCAGGTTTAATTTAGCCAATTTTCAACCCTGCTGGTTCCTTTGAGATCCATGTCAAGGTTACTTTCCCACCTAATGCAGAAGCACATTGAACCCTTCTGGTTTATCACACAAACGTGACCTCCCTGTCTGTCTTGGCAGACGAGACGCTTGGGAATCAACGTCCTGCTTTTCTTTCCTTCCTCCTGGCAGCTTTCTGGGAGCTGCTTTCTGTCAGCTGGGGCTGCTTCCCTACCTGATAGTGCATCAAGGTGTTCAGGCGCTTCCAATCTCCCTCGATCTTGGTGGTGATGTCTTCATCCTGCAGGACCACGCGGGCGATCCGGCCCTGCCGCCACTCTGTGGGAGAGGCAAAAACCAGGCACACACCACGGTCAGAGAGGGGCCAAGCTCTGCAAAACCCACCAAGAATCCCCAGTCAGCTTCTCTGATCACCCCCCCTCCTATCAGGCAGGGAAGCTCCTACCCAAATCCATGTCCACAGCCCTTGGTCTTTGGGAATACGGGACGTTTTTGTACACGGCATCGAGGATCTTCTCCTTGACTTGGGTGATGGTGTCACAGTTCAGCACCTTCACAGGGATCTCTGGACTGTTCTCATTATCTGGGTTCACACAGTTTAGGATCTGGAAGAGAAGGAGAAACATACCGTGCTCTAAAGGATGAGCACCCAGGAGAAATGTAACCCCGTGTCACAACAACCTTTTCTCATTAAAAACCCCACTGCAGCCCTAATTGCTATGGCATCAAGTATATTTATATCATTATTTCTAAGATAGGAGTCAGGGATGTCCACATTCAACACCCAAGGGAGATAAAACATTCCCCTCAAACCTGCTTGGCTCAGATTATTTGCACCAGAAAATTAGGGATGCACCTGACTTGGACGCGGGTCTTTATTGCACTGGCAGCACTTAGGCCTCACAGAAGTGTCCTAATCACAAGGTCAGCAGAGCTCACAGGGGAGGGACAGCAGTGATTCCCTGGCAGCTCCTCCAGCATCACTCACCAGAGTCTTGTACTCGATCTGCTGCCGGATCAGCTTGTCCTCGCTGAGGGAGTAACGGGCTTCTCCTGTGATGGCATCAATGGGGCCTTTCTCCATCTGCTGCTTGATGGCACAGTAGAGCATGAAGAGTGGCTCTCCAGCACATTCCTGCATGAGAGAGGGACAGCAGAGCTGACACAGAAGTGATGGTGCCTCTCCTCCGGGGCCACTGGCCCGTACAGGGGTTTGGCACGTGATTCCTCCCAGCAGAGGCACAGTCCCACTCTCTCCTTAGCACATGTAAAACCCATGTTTGGCCCCCAGCAGCTCCTGGAGAGGGCAGCCAATCCCATGAGCTCCACTGCTCCACAGGTTTGTTGTCTTTGGCAGGGTAAACCCCTCCTGAATCTATGTGGCTGTAAAAAACTGGAATTTGATATCCTGATCTCGTTGTTCGCTCCCACGAAGCAAATTCTGCGGGGCTTCCAAAACCACAAATTAAGTTAAAAAATGTGGAAGCTCAGGAGATGTGAGAATTTCTCCTAAGTACTAAAGAGGTGTAAGAGAAACTCGGTGACATGAGAATAACACCAGGAGACCTGAGGAAGGCTGTGACCATGGAGCAGCAGCCCCAGGTGTTGGCATCTCCAACAAATTTCCACCTCCCCTGCCTTGCTACCACACCTTTTAACTTGGAGTCTGATGGAAGAGTTTCATGGCCAGATCCTGCCCCCCCAGGGATGGCAGGTGGGTGAGACAGCACAGTGACAGGGTGGATGTGTGCTCTAGCCCTCCTTACCTTGAGGAACTTGTGGAGGAGGAAGGCAAACCAGTTTGTCAGCATCTTCTCAGCCACCGACTCGGTCCTGGGGGGAAACCAGGAGGACACACATCACACCCAGAGCCTGGCACAGCTCCGTGGTGCTCAGGACCAGGATTCCAGAGCAGCAGGATGTGGCCAGCATTGTCCCCCCCTCCCTGCACGGAGCTGACAGCAGCTTGCCCAGCTGACAGCCCGTGACAGCCCTGATGGGGCTGGTGACAGGGAGTCTGGTGACACTCAGCTCCTTGCACGTGGTGCAAATTACAGCCTGGCTCAGTAAATCACTGGGATTTGCGGCAGTTCCTGGCAATCAGGGACAGCAGAGTGACAATGGCGGGGAAATTGCAGCTTTCTCCCCAGTCCCACCCAGTGTCCTCTCCCCACATTGTGCCCGAGATTATCTCTAATTTAAATACAATGGCTCCTAATGATAGTTTTTAATGCTGGCTCTGCAGGACCCAGAGACTTTCCTTAAAGCACCGCAGTCCCTTTTCCTGGGACAGGATGGCTGTGGTGGGACAGGATGGCTACGGTGGTGGCAGGGTGTCTCACAGTCCCCATCTGAGCCCAAACCCATGCAGGGAAGAGCTGTTGTGCTGCAGCCTGGCCAGCTGTGAGCAGGACCCTGGCCAGCCTGGTCCAGCACCACCAGCCTTCCCCTCAGCCACATCTGACACCAGGATCTGGTCCAAATTCCAGCAAGCAAACAGGGATTAACCCAATACCCTGCTCTCTGCAGCATCCTTTCCTCTGCCCTCACTATGAACCAGGTGACCTCCTCCCTGACCTAGAGGCAGTCACCATCCCACTCCACACCCAATTTCCCCACTCTTCCCCATCTGCTCTGCTGCCTTGAATTAGGGACTGCCTCTTGCTATGAATCCACACAGCATTCCAAACACTTGGAATTAAAAACACACACTATAGAAGCACCAGGGCATGATCCCAAAGCCAAGCAAGATCAAGAATAAAGAGGAGCCAGAGATTTCAGCAAACAACTGACACCAGTCGGCCAATGGACCTGGGGTCACATTATCCATCATCTCTTAGGATGGCAACATCTGCCAGGAATTTGTGAAAATGTCTGCAGGTCCCCAAAGAATTTAAGCTTGAATTGATTAACTGCCTAAAAATTCATGCTACAAATTGACACACACGTTGTTCTCCTGTTTGAAATATTTCGGGCACCCAATTAAAGAGGAGAAGCACTAACACACTTCCAAACAGCCACAGAAAAATGGAGAGGCAGTGACACAAACTAAAGAATAGGTGAAAAACTCAGAAAACAGTACATTCGGGACTTGGTGGTGAATATTAGTTTAACAAACCACTTTGTTAATAGAATATTAAATTAAGAATTAGCAAGTCTCACAATTAGCCCTCCCAGTGAAGCAATGCTGTGCCCTGTCCCTGTGGGCTGCTCAGGGCCTGACACCAGCTCTGTAAAAATAACTGAAATATGGAGTGACAGAGAAGTTGGGGCATATTGCATGGGAGAATGGCATTGCATACTCCATGTCGAGCTGTTTCCTTTTATTTCTTTATCAGAAATACATGATCAGCTGAATGGAACAGCATAAAGAAACACCTCGGAGCATCTCTGTCAAATTCCATTTCTCCTTTACCCTCAAGCACCGAATCTCATCTCAACACAGTCTGACGCTGCGAGATATTTGCAGAGCATCAGTCCCAGGGACAGCCAGCAGTTGAGTTAATCATCACTGTCCTACACTGGCCGGGGAAAGGGGTAGCTCAGAAGCTCCATCACTGCTGGGAACAGCTTTATAGAGCATTCCTGCATCCTCTGCCTTGGAAAAGGGATGGCTGGGTGAGCCATCCCCCAAACTCTGCCTGCCACCCCAAGGCCTGGCCTCTCTTTCTCTCTGCTACACCTGGAGGGCTCTGTTGAGCCCCAAAATCTGCTACAGGATTTTGTGCTGCCCCTGACTGGTGTCGCTCCGCACCATCGCAGGTCTCTGAATGCTGGCAGAGACCTGCTCTAAAAATAAAAAATAAGCTCCTGGGGATTAACATGGCAGCAGAGAACCCCTAGACTCGGAGAAAACCCTTCTCACATCAACCACATAACGAGGGCAAAGCACGATCCAGAGGCGACTTTCCAAAGGAGTCTGACACCAGCACCCAGCGCCTCGGCTGCTCCGCTGACTTTCTGAGGCACCGGGAAGAAAACAAACCTAAACAAAGCCGAGCTGAGGGAGAACCCAAAAAATAAATATGTATTTTATTAATTTTCCCCGCTCTATCTAGGTCTCCAAACTGCCGTGTGCTCTGCTCGGTGCCAGCAACCAGAGCAGCTGTTTGATTTAACGTCAACTTTCTTGCTGTCTCCCGCGAGGGGCAGTCGTGGAAGAAAGAGAGAGGGGAAAACGAGGAAGAAAGAGGGAAAGAGCTGAGTGTCAGTTATCAACTGCTGCCACCAGAGAGCTCAAAAAATTTTAAAAAGATGTATTTCACTTTGTGGCTGATCGCTCCTTATTAAGTCAGAGCAAGACATTCTCTGACTGTTGCTTTGTGCACCAACACTGAGGCACAGGGCTGGGACAGGGCTCCAGCCATGGATTTAATGGGATCTCGAGTAAAAGGACAAGGGGTAAAGCTTATAAACTAAAAGGGGGTGGAATCAGACTAGATATAAAGCAGAAATTTTTATGATGAGGGTGGTGAAAGCCTGGCCCAAATTGCCCAGAGGGGTGGTAGATGTCGCATCCCTGGAAAGAGACCCCCTGTCAAGTTCCCTGTGAAATGGGTAAATCCTGGTGCAGGTCAGACAGCCCTGGTTCTTTGCTGGGTAATTCAGGCAGGAGGGGGCCCAGCTCTCATCACCATCTCTGTGTTTTCTGGAGCTCCACAAGCAGTCATTATTGATGGCAGAGGCAGAAGACGCCTTCCCAGCGACTCGTCAAACCACGGGGGAAATTAAGACGGCTTCCCTTCCCCGAGATGAGTTATTGCCTCCGCAAACACAGCCAGATTTAAAGCAATTTCCTGTCAAGTATATTCATTGTGGCTGGAGGAATCCCTGAAATTTTCCTGGAGATGTGAAATCCTCCCCTCCCCTTCATCCCCTCACTCCAGCGAGATTCCAGCAGAGCCCCAGGCACAGCCCATGGGCAGCTGTGGCCAAGCCAGGCTCTGCAGCACAGCCAGGGCCCACAGGGACATGGGACAGGGGTGGCTCATGACATGGAGAACGGGGGGAGCCTTTTACTTGTGGCTGCTCATCTGCCCTACATCAATACACCATTTTTTCCTCTTTTCTTTCTGCCATTTCTCAGCACAGCCTGGGGTGAGTCGCTTAATCCACTCTGGAGCTCTTTGCCCAGCTGTGGAACACAAATGCTGCTCTCCACCCCAAGAGACCTGGAGGATCCAGTCTGGGATCTCCTCAGCCATCTGTGAAATCACAGAGACCTGGAGACAGGCGAGGAAATGTATGGAAGTCCTCCATGGAGAGCTGCGTTTTCCTTCCAACAGCTGCACCCACAGAGCCCTTGGATCACAGAATCATTGAGGTTGGAAAAGACCTCCAAGACCACTGAGTCCAACCTGTGACCAATCCCCACCTTGTCCCCCAGCCCAGAGCATGGAGTGCGACATCCAGTTGTTGAACACCTCCAGGGGTGGTGACTCCACCACCTCCCTGGGCAGCCCCTTCCAAAGCTCAACAACCCTTTCCAAGAAGAAACTTCCTCCAATTCCCAAAATCCCTCCCGATGCCACCAGCAGCATGGGGGGGCTGCACTGACCCCGTCCCCTCCCTGCCCCTGACCTCACCTGCGCAGGAGCAGCTTGGGATGGTTCTTGTTTTCCAGGTTCTTCTCGATGAGGTCGGAGAGCAGCTGCTTCAGCACGTCCGTGGCATACTCCAGCTTGCCCTGCAGCCCCGTCATGATGAGCGAGGCCACGTTGCCGCGGTCGCGCATGGAGAAGCTGCGCTGCAGCTCCAGCGTCCGGATGAAGGTCAGCAGGAAGACTTTGTTGTTGATCAGCTGAGCAAAGAGCTTCAAGGCCTTCTCCACGCTCTGCTGCCCGTTCCCTTGGACCTGCAGTGGAGGAGAGCGTGTCCATCAGCGAGGCACGGGAGGACGAGGGGCTGGAGGGCAGCCCTGCATCACCCTGCCAGCACTGTGGGGGTAAATCACAGAATCACAGAATGGCTTGGGTGGGGAGGGACCTTAAAGCTCATCTCATTCCAACCCCCTGCCACGGGCAGGGACACCTTCCACCAGATCAGGTTGCTCCAAGCCCCATCCAGCCTGGCCTTGAGCACTTCCAGGGATGGGGAGTCAACAATCTGTCTGGGCAACCTCTTCCAGGGTCTCACCATCCTCACAGGGAACAGTTTCTTCCTAACATCTGATCTAAACCTGCTCTCTTTCAGTTTGAACACATTCCTCCCCTGTCTCGTCATGCCAGTTCCTGATGCAGAGTCCATCTCCAGCTCCTTCAGATCCTGGAAGGTGCTGTGAGGTCTCCCCACAACCTTCTCTTCTCCAGGCTGAGCAGCCCCAACACTCTCAGCCTGTCTCTGTAGGGCAGGTGCTCCAGTCCTCTTAAGCTTTATGCCCTTCTCTGGACTTGCTCCAACACTTCCATGTCCTCCTTGTACTGGGGGCAACAGAACTGCACACAGTATGGTTTAATGCTGGGTGCACAAGCCAGCACCCCATCTCTCAGAGTCTGAGCATCCCTGAACACGGTCCCTGGTCCATCCTGAGCAAACATCACCCTTCCAGTCCTCCCTCAGCACAGCTCCCCTCAATCCTTGCTCTGAGCTGCACTCTCTGCACTCCATAAAGCTGCTGCTTTGGGGCTAACGGCCCTATAAATGACACACAGTTCTGCTTGTTCTGCACAAAAAGTGACACTCTTGTAAGTAAATTAAATACTAATTTAGGCTATTGCTTTATTATGGGACAAGTGTAAAAAATTAATTGAGGCTTTCAGCCAGTTGCGGATTCAAGTAATTCATTACAAGTGAAAATGATGAACTACATGAAGCAACTCTTTACCAAACATCTTGGAGACTTATGTATTGGTTTTACTAACGTTACATAATTAAGCAACTGTGTAATTGGCAACACATTTATCACTTCTGCAATTCTGTTTTTCACGAGTAAAACAAAAAGCATTCATATTTGTTTGCTAGAGCACCAGCTTAGTTGGCAATTCAAACAGCAAACAGAATGCACGGAGCTGGAAAACTCAGGGCACAGGAATGGGCTGGGAGAAGCTGGTTCTGTTTTATCAACACCACAGCAACTGCTCGGTGCTGGTGGCCCACTGGAATCTAAATTGAGGCATTAGGGCTGCCTGGAAAAGCAATGCAGCCCTGTGGAGCAGGAGCAACCACGACTCCTTCCTCCTACATCCAAGCCCTGGGCTGTGTGAAGGCAACAGGACTGCGGGATTTACTGGAACAATCCCAGTCTCTCAGAGGCAGCGCTGAGCCTGGCACCTCTGGGCACCCCGTGGGGAGGATGGCAGTCCCATCCCACGGGAAGGATGGCAGCCCCTTCCTGAGTGGCAGCTATTTCTCGAAGCACCATCACTTTTTTGGCCCTGTCCCAGGTGAGCAGGGCCCGTCTGTGAGGTGACCTGATGGACCCTTGTACTTTCCCAGTTCTTCTGCACCCTCAGCGAAAACCTTTGATCCGTATTTACACATCCTGGTGGAGAAACCAGGGAGATGGAAGTGCTTGCTGAGAGGCCAGAATGCCTGGGCAGGGCATTCCGCTTGCCCTCCTGTGGACACGCCATGGAACAGCAGCAGGATGCTCCAGGCAGGATGATCCCAGGATGCTCCGGGCACACAGCATTCCCCTGCGCCGTAAGGGGACTAAGGAGGACTTTAAAGCACATCCATAACTTTTCTGACGTGCTTTGCTGCTGGCCTAGAGCAATATAAAACCCCATAAAATAAAAATAAAGCAACACCACGGGGGAGAAACCAAAAGGAACCACACAGGCAGCGTGGGATGAGATAAAACAGCAGCTCCTGAGCTAAAATGGACTCTGGGCTCACCCCACTGACCTCGGGGCCTCTAATAAGATTTGCTGTGAAGGCATAAAGGTGCTTCAGGATTTCTCACTGGCTTCCCCGAGGGCTCAGGGAAACTTGGAAGGGCTGGACCACGGGCTGTTTGTTACCTCCAGCTCCCGCAGGACAGGGTGGTCCTCGATGCCAGGGAAAAGGACCCTCATGGCATAAGTCCGATAGTCCAGGTAGGGGATCCCGGAGCGATCCAGGTCACTGGTCAACTCATTGATGTCCGTCTGCAGCTCTGCAAAAGCTGTTCAGGGAGAGAACAGGACACAGAGAGGTGAACTCTGAGAGCTGAGGCTTATAGGGAGGAGGTTTTGGGGAGGGCTGGCTGCCTGCTCTCCCTGTACCCCATAAATGGGTCAGCTCAGGAGCTGAATCAGAGGAGCCCTGGCCTCGTAGCTCAGGCAGACCCTCACCCTTGGAGGCTCTGTGTCAGCCTGAGAGCAGGAGAGCACACGCTGCACAGAGCAGATGCTGAGAACAAAGATGCTGCTTAATTTGTATGCGGTTCACACCTGTGTGCACACACCTAAAACACCCTGAAAGGCTGCAGAGAGAAATAAGGACCTATTTTCATAACTTGGTGCCTCCCATTCCTTTCTTCTTCTTCCCCTCCTCTATCAACAGTTGCCAAAATAATCAAATCTGATGCAGATCAAATCCAAGCTGCTGCAGGGGTCAGGAAGGAATTTATTCTTCCTGTGATAACATAATATCATGTGTTGTACAGCTGTATGTGTCTCCTCTTGTTCCCTCTCCAAAGTGTGACATGCTGGCTCAGTGAGGCCTCTGTACCCCAGCTGGGCTGTGCCATGCCAAAGCTGGGTTTCCTCCTCAATATATCTCATTTTTTGCCCTGTGCTTTCAAGGCTGTCCTTGAAATCAGCTGAACAAATCCAACACAATATTCTCTACATACACTGTGAAATTTGCAGCTTTCTATTTATTTTATTTTGATTCACTGAGCCCATTTCCAGGTGGAAGGGAACAACAGCAGCACCTCCAAAAAAACACCTTCACCTGGGCTTCACCACAGAGGGGACCAGGCTCAGCCACCTCCTTGCAAGGGACAGGACTTGTCCATGTGGAAACTTGCAATCAGCAGGTGTGATTGCTCCAAATGAGACACAAAATCTCCCAGAAGCAAAAGCCTGAGGAGTTTTTCCTACCCCTCAGCCCTGTTACTGCTCTGGGCTTACATTTCTAGACTGGAGGAGGGACTGGACCAGCTTTTCAGCCCTCCTGCATTGCTTTTGGGATACATGGTGTTACTTGAGGGTCTGAACCTCCTCTGCACCCTCTCTTTCTGTGCCTTTTTCAAAGCCCCTCACTGCAAAGCCATCAGACAAGGGAACACACTGTGCTGGGCACCCCGGGGCTGGCACCGTGCGATCCACGCGATCCAGGCGTGTCACTTAAGCAGGATCAAGCTCTAATCCTATTCTCTGCACATCAGGGAGCAGAGCCGTGTCTGCTGCTGACACACTTGTGGCTGCCCACCCTCCCACGGCAGGGCAAACCCCACAGGGTCACACACACACCCCGCTGCTGGCTGCAAACTCCGGGGGACTGGGACAACCGGGAACCCCAGCACGGAGCCGCAGCACCCAGAGAGCGCCCGGTCCCGGGCAGTACCCACCCTCCTTGCACTCCAGGGCCACCCGGGACTCCAGGTTGTCCATCTGCATCTGCAGCCTCTTGAGGGTGAGGTCGTTCTCGCGGGACTTGCGCTTGTAGGCGATGAGGACGATGATGACGATGATGAGGAGCAGGCTGCCCCCGGCCGCGATGCTGACGATGGCCGGCAGGGTCAGGAGGCTGTCTGAGATGATGCTCACCGAGCCAGGGGAGAAGATGACCCCACCAACACGCACCTACGAAGCACAGCTCAGGTCACCAGCAGCGTCAGGGTGTCACCTGCCCCAAAGCCCCGTCCTTCCCACCCCATGGGCTGTGCAGATCCCTCGGGAAGCACCAAACCACCCCTGTTTAAGAATATAAAACTCCAGTTGCCTTCAAACACGGAGGGTGCCGCTTATGTGAACACGAGGAGGCTTCAAGTGATGATAAATGTGCCAGCCCTTCACTATCTGGGCTTTGTTCTTATTATCTGATGGCTCCATTTGACTTTCATTTTATAAGCTTTCAACTCCCTTTTGTAAACCGTGGACATTAGCAACTCACTGATAATTTCACTGACAAGAAACCAGAGTGACTGGAAGGAAAGAGCAGAGAAGGGAAGAGAAAGCTCCACATGAAAGCTATGGAGCAAACAGGCCGGAGTTAACGCCAGGACAGGCTTTTCTTGGATGTGCCCCGGCCACAGATGCGAGCAGCTCTCAGCCAGGTTGCGCTTCTGGGAGTCACACTGTGATAATCTGAATATGTTTTGGATGCTGAACTTAAAGGGGAATAAATCACAATTACAATCTCATTTGGGCTCCACTCAAGCACTTCGGCAGCTGCGTGTTTGGTCTGCGAGAGGAGCAGAGGAAGCAGCGATGCCCAAAACCAGAGCAGAGGAAGGCACCGACTGTTCCCCTGGATGAGGTTGTTGATCCAACCACTCCAGTGTTCAGATGTTCCTGGCTTCTGCTGCAGGAAAAGGCAAAACCTTTCCATCCACTCAGCAGATCAGGTCTGGCTACGTGGGCTGATGAGATCCCTACAGGAGGGAGAACACTGGGAATGGTCTCATCCTCATCCAGAGGAAGGATGGCACCCGGTGCCAAAGGCACTGCTGGAAAGATCTGTTCCTTCTAGAAGGCTCTGATAGTAGGGAGTGAGTCTCAGGGAAGGACAAAGTTTCTTTATGCTAATCCACATCAATATTTTAAGCTTCCAATTAGACAACCATGAAGATCTAAAATCCTCCCAGCCCTTGGACAAGACATTGCATTCAGCATCCAAGTGAGTCAGGGAGCTGGAGGAGGAGCAGAAAGGATGGGAAGGAGGGAGGGAAAGGGATGCTGATGGAGAGTTTGGTTCCTCACCATGACTTTGTGCTGTCCAGTGAGGTTTGGGGGCTCACACAGCAGCTGGGTCTCGGACACAGTGACAGCACAGGGGGTTTCCCCGATCAGCACGGTGTAGTTGAGCTTGGCTCCTCCCGGGGCAGGCGGGCACAGGTTTCTGCCCTAGGGACAAGCAGGTAGAACACTGACAAAGATGCAGCCCATTCCTCCAGTTCCCATCTCATCCCCAGCTTGTGCAAACAACGGCACTCTGCTGGTGTACCCCATTCTCCAAAGGAGGGATAAAACTCCACTATCTGGGATATTTTTCTTCCCATGAGGTGGGCGGGGGCGGTGTCTCCTTACCTTCAGGATGATGGGTGACCCCGGCTTCTGCTCCAGCACCCCGGTGGGGCTCAGCATTTCGAACGTGGGGTTGGGGTAGTAGATGAACTTGGTGTCGTTGTAGACCAGCAGGGCCTGCACGTTGTTGAAGATGAACCCGAACTCGTCCGGCCGCTCCACGGCGTCCAGGCCGGGCCGGTACTCGGGGCTGAGGGGGGGAGCGAGGCACAGCAGCACCGTGGAGTTCACCACCTTGCACACCTGTGGGGAAGGGGCTGCTCTGAGAGATGGCACAGGAAAAAACCGCCCTTGACCTGGACAATGATGCTCTGACTCCCTAAATTCCCTCTGGAAAGTCGAAGGGGTTCAGGTTTGGCTGGAAATGTTTAATCCGGGCTCGATGATCTCAGAGGTTTTTTCCCAACCTTAGTGGTTCTGTGATGTGTTATAACCATGGTTTGGGGTAAGTTGCTTCCCCTCCATCCAGCACGAGGGCACTGGTGCAGGGATGGGGAGTGAGCTCAAGAAGACTGGCTTGCACAGCAGACCTTTCTCCTTTCTCTTTATTCTTCTTTTTGCTTCTCTTTCTGGTTCCATCCTCTCTGGCAATGCTGGCTCTGAAAAAGACCCATGGGGAATATCTGCTCCTCGCTGCAAATGGGTGGTTAGAGGCAATTCCCAAATGCCAGGGAGGGAAAGGAACGATCATCTGACACTCGTGGGCTGGAGGTAACGTGAAGGTCATCTCCTGCCAGGCTGAGGACACCCACGGCTCCTCCAGCCCTCAGAGTAGGGAGACGGCTGATTTATGGGACTCTTGCCTTGTAAAGCAGCAAGAGCCCAACCATTTGGCCTCCCTCCCTAAGTGGAAGATTTAATTTCACTCGATTTCGTGTCTTCAGAATTATTTTTGTAGCACTATAACTGCAAGTGCTAGCAACGAAATTAGATGTCTTTTTAAAAAGAGCTCAGATGAAAAAGGTCTTGAGGGGGAGAAAAGGAATGGGAAAAGACTGCTAAGTGATTTGCCCTTTCCAAGATAATACAGATTCAGTCACAAAGATCACTGCATAGAAACAATATATTTCAGTTTTACTTGATCAAAACAATTTCTGAGGTCCTGGAGGTACAATTCTTACTTGTAGCACACAAGAAGATCTCCTAGTTCCCATTTAGCTGGGGATTCATTCCAGTTTCTCACTCATGGACTGAAAAAATACAGATAGGGGAAGGAGGTGGCATTCCAGATCAACCTCAAACTCTGCTACCAACTCCTTGCTGTGGCATAAAAGTAACACTCAGCTCATCAAAACACCCAGAGCCTCATGCCCAGGAAGGTTCCCCTCCCTCCTGCCCTCCCTGGGCTGGTACAGGCTCATCAGGCCCAGAGCTGAGGCAACAGGAGGTTTATTTATAGAAGGAGGCCAGGGATAGACTAAACTAAGTTAAACTAAGCAGCCTCAGAGCTCTGGCAAGTCTCAGTGTCCAGCTCTTGGCTTTTTCAGAAAGTACAGGACTAAAATAGGGAGTGTGGAGCAGCTGGGAATGATGGGGACAGCTCCACTTGGACTTTCCATCAGAACGTGCCCGCAGAGCTGAGCTGGGTGCTGGGGAGAGATCTCAGGGCTCAGGGGCTCTGACAAAAGGGGGATTTCAGGAGGTTAACAGGTTTATCTGCCCCAAGAGAGAATTTGAGGTGTTGGAGACGATCTGAAATGAAATCCTTCCTTTCTAGCTTTGAAAACTCCTCGGTTACTGCGCTGCCGAGGAAGTAATTTCCCATTTCTGCGTGTCCCCATATTTGGGTAAGTGTGGGAAATACCCCCAGGGCAGCTTTTGCCATGGCAAGGTTGGCCCTACAGACAGCACTGGCACCAGTAACCATGTGCCTGCAGCTGGTGGGGGGATGCAGAGGGATGCACTGTGCTGACAGCACCTACTTACGTTGACAAACTCCTTCCCATTGTACTTGACGCGGATCCTCGGCTCCTGGATCACGTCCAGGTTGGAGCCGGTGACAGTCAGGGGGGTGTGCCCGCTGTGGAGAACAGGGAGACACCTGATTAATGGAGCTGGGGCTGTGCACAGAGCCTGGGCTTGACAGGGAGGATGCTTGTTGAGCTCAGAAAGATGTTTTCTGCAGCCACCTGAGGCACCAGTGCGGATTTATACCCACTCCTGAGTCACTGGGGAGGGCTGTCCCTGGATTTTCTGCTCTCAGCTGCCCCCCTTCCCACCTAAAACACTGCAAGGCAGCGGGATGAGGAACCAAGGAAATCGAGGGAGCTGAGACTAAACACGTAAGACAATAAATTAGTCGCAGTGTTTAATGATTTACACAGCACTGGTTTCCAGGCCCATGATAAATGGCTCGTGTAGTGAAGGAACTGACGTGCACTTGCCTCTGGACTGCAGACACAGCAAGTTGTCACACAGAGCAGGGGAGGGATGGAGAGCCATCAGATACAACCCCCAGGGCCAGAGTACCCCCTTTCTCCTACAGCCAGTGCCCTGAGCAAAGCCTTTCACTCTCCCTTCACGTGTTAACTGGAGCAGCACGGCCCAGATTCACCCACGGCTCCAGCACCTCCACAGCTGCTCCCTCAGACCCCCTCTGTCAGCAGCCCCGACCAGCCCATCCAACCCAGCTCCTCCAAAACCAGACACCATCCCGAATTTGGACTCAAGGCAGGCATCTCCAGAGCCTCCTGCGAGACGCTTACCTCTTTCAAGGGCAATTTAAAAAAAATAATTGGAATTTGATATGAATAGCTGTGTTACAGCCCTTGTGAGCACAACCATTAAAGTGAAATCGCAGGATGAGCGTGGCCCAGGGTTTTTAGCAGTGACAATGTCACGATGATGTGACAGCACCAGCCACCCCGTTCCCAGCAGTGAATCTGGGATGACAGTACATTTTGATTAACATCAGCTTTTCCCTTTCTTCGTGGTTGCTGGTTTTGTTTTATTTCAGGACTACAAGAAGGAGCCTTTAATGAGCAATTGTGCCCTTCTGCAGCAGATGGGAGTGATCTTGGCTTTATCTGTGCTCCCAGAATCTCGGTGCAGACTGACTGCTGGAACTGCCTTGGGAATCACAACTACTCTGGGAACTGTGATTTTTGGTAAATGCAAACACCACAGATGCCCGGCCCTGACAAATCCAGGATGCTGGGTGGGATGAGAATTTCCAAACAGGCCCTGAGTGTGTGCTGAGAGAGAAGCCCCAGATAAGGGGAGCCATCGAGGCCCCACTGTCAGATCCATGTGTTACCTGGCGATGCTCCACTCGGGCTCGATGTGCTGCACCTTGGGATCATCAATGTACTCAAACTGCAAGGTCCTCTCCAACTGAGCCCTGTCCACGCTGACAGAGACCTGGACAGCCCCCAGGCCGTGGGCTGATGGGGCTGACACACAGACTATCTCGCTCGTGGATCGCCTGTGCAAGGGGGAAACGGGCAAATGTTAACGGGTGATCACGGTGTGGGGGCAGAAAACAGCCCTTTGTCCTGTCCTGGGGCAGCTCCTGAGCCATCAGTCAGCCCCACACTGACACCTGTGATGGGGACAAGCTCCCGAGGCGGGCAGGAGGGTTTCAGTGGCATGGGAGGGAGGGAGTGGAGCTCTGCCCACCGCGGGAGCAGCGCAGCCTCCCTGAAATGGCTCTTTGTGCCAAACTGCAGCCTTCCCGCATCCCTCTGAACCCGCTGCCTTCTGCTGGGCGTGTGAAAACAGATGGCTGCTTTTTAAATGGCATGCATAAGCTCACTGAAAAGCCAAATTCTCCCCCCTCCCCACCCCGTCGCACACACGAGGCTCTTGTGAGCGGCATAATGGAGCCGCGCGGCCCCCGCCCGGGAAGGGCGATGCCACGGTCACCGCCGCCTTTGGCTTTGTCTCCCCGTCAGAGCAGGGTGACCTCGGCCTCGGTGCTGGCTGGCTGGCCACAACAGACCATCTGCTGCCATCAGAGCCCTGGAGAAGGTCGAGGCAGCAGCGTGGCGAGGCGCTGTCAAAGCACAAAGGCGCCGGTGGGTGGATGGATGGAGAAGGGGGATGAGATCTGAGCATCCAGAACGGAGCTGGAAGGAACCACGTGGCTCCATGGTGAGCCCGGGCATTGATCCTACAAGAAGTGCTGCAGTGACACCCCTGGAAGTGTTCCTGCACAGCCACCCGTGGTTGTCCTGCCTGCCCAAACCTGCCCCTGGCTCACAGAGCTGTTCCTGTGGCTCATTTAGTTTTGGGTTCTCCCAGGGAAGAGGGCGGGCAGGTCTGCAGCACCAGCTGACAGCCTGGCACTTAAATCAAAAACTGGCACTCCTGAATGTCCAGTCTTCACCATCCTCACCCTCCTCAGGGGCTGTGCAGCTCACAGAGGTACCTGAACGGCTGAGTGTCCCTGCTCTGCTTCCAGCAAAGCTCTGGTGTCTGTGCCTGGCAGGGGAATGATGTGTCACCCCATTTGAGAGCCTTTACACACTTCCTCCCCTCTCTAAGGAGTATGGACACATCACTCAGCAGGTACCACAATGTTCCCAGCTCACACCTTGGCACTTCCACCCACCACAACCGAGGGAACAGAAAAACACAAAACAGAAAAACTCCTAAAAACACCTTAAACAAATTGGATTCGACTGTTTCTGTTGATGCAATTACACATCTACCCCTTCCTGCCCTCCTCCTCCTCCCTCCCTCATGCTATTCTCACTCTCCATCTAGGAATAATTTAACCACAAAGGCATCCCTGTGTGAGGAGTGGGTTTCTCCACCTTCCTTGCTGAGTCTCGGAGTGTTTCTATGGATGCCTGTGCAGCTGACGAGATGCCTGCTGCTGCCTGCACTGCTGCTGCCTGCTCTGCTGCCTGCTCTGCTGCCCACACCAGACCCCACCGTGCCTGCTTAGCTCTGGCACGAGATCCAGAGTGACGCATGGCTGCTGGCAGAGCAGCTCCCAGCTCCCTGTGATCAGCTAATTAGCTTTCTGTGCTATTATTATGTCGTCATGGTGAATCTACCCACTCCTCCGATCAGAGAGGGGAGAATGGGGGAAGCTGTAATTAGAGGGAATCTCATTAGAAGCTGCTTCATCTCATCAGGCTCCCCCACACCCTCGAGTACAATTGAAGTTCATTGCCTCAAAACAGCCCAAGCCAAACAAAGTGCTCAGCGTGACCCCACGTGAGGGCTGGGGCTGTTCACACACTGCTGCTTGCTTTGTTTAACTTTCTGCTTCCTGCTGTAATTTAGAACATACAGGGGAATCCAAAACTCTTTGCAGGTCAGCATCTGCAGGTTGCCTGAATAAAATCTGGTATTTAAGGGATGATATTCCAGGGCTGATTCTGCTCTTCTGTTGGGGGTAACGCTGTTCTCTGTGCGTGCACCTGAGGGAACAAACTGGCATCTTTGTTTTGGAGATGGGAAGAAATATTGATGGATTGGTTACATTGCTTAGCACTTGGAGAACTGATCCACACCGGAAGGCTTCAGCAAATCCAGACCTCCCAAAGGTCTGGGATGGATACAGCATAAGGACTAACAACCCAACGTGCTCCCACATCTGAACACCCACAGCTCCTGTATCAAAGGACCTCTCAAATTCACCTCCAGGGGTCTTTGCTTTGCCAGGAACTCCCTCAGCTCCTCCTGGGAAGCCTGAGTGAAGATCTGACAAGCAGAAGGATCCCTTGGGACACCAGGTTCCCACCCAGGCTGTGCCCACTGCCTGCTGCTTTGGGCACCTCGTGGGTCCGGGCAGGGCTGTGTACGTGGGGCACACAGATGTAAACACAGATGTATCTCTTTCTAACTAAGCCCCAAGAAAACCCATTAAACCCTGCAAATGTCAACTCTGTGTTTACACTGCTGGGTGAAAAGCAAATTTGCCATTGAAATCCCACTGGAGATTGATGGCTGTGTGAGTTCCTTGGCAGAAGGTGTGTGCAGACCCACGCCCTGCTCTACCCAGCAGGACTCCAGCCCTCACTCAGACCATTTTTAGGAAGTCGAGGCACCTGCAGCAGTGGCTGCAATAAAAGCAGTGCAAGGTGTTTATCTCTGAAAAGAGAAACCAGGTATTTCTTATGAATGTTACATTTTTTTCAGACTAACTGGGTTGAGGGCAGGTATTGATGACCAATATAAATATTTTACCACCACAGTGATGTTTGTGTGAACTTTTTGGACTAATTAACACTGCAACACCACTGAAACCAAACAGTGGGCAGCACTAACACCAATGAATCCCTCCAAGGCTCAGTCACAGCAAGAGAAAAGATGGTTTAATGCAATAAAAGAAGGACTGGGAGCCTTCAGGGGTTCCCAGCTGTAGTTTTGCCGTGGCTGCACATTCAGATACAGCAGATCCTGGTGGTGCAGGACCAGGAGGTGCAGGCAGGAGCCCACAATGGCCCAGCTTGTCCTCTTACCCGTAGAACTCGCAGGTCTGGTTTCCCAGGAGCACAGAAACACGGCTGCCAGCTCCCAGGTAGTGCCCAGAGATGGTCACCATCGTCCCTCCCGACTCTGGCCCACGGCTGGGATTCAGGAAACTCACCACTGGAGTCTGGAGAAAGGAAAGGATAAACTCAGCACTCCTGCCTGCAGCGAGGGAGCTGTTGTGAAGCACCATCCCTGAGCATCCTCATGCTTTTAACAAGGAAAAGCAAAACAGGGATGTGTCCTGGACATCTGACAAACGTCCTGCTACGTTTTCTAACCCAGCTCTGACAGAGAGATGTGCCCCAACAAAACAATTGCAAATTCAGCCTTGGCAAAGTTATGGATTCACCTTTGACTTTGCTCCTAAGCAAAGGTAAGTTGATGGCACTGCAGTTTGAAGAACTAAATATATCCAAGCAAACTGCCACAATGGAAATTTGAACCCGAATATTTGGAGTTTGTCAGTGTGGGAAAGGATGAAAAAAACCCCACCAGGGTCTGGCAATGGGAAATGCTGCCCAGCTCCAACAAAAGGTAGCACCATCAGCTCCAGCTCCATATAAACCACCAGTGATGGAATTGTGGGGGTAGAACCTGTTTCCCATTGCTGATGGAAAGACATCCTTGGTGGGCAACCTTAGATCCCACTTGGCATTTTACTGGTGAAACTATCACAGCAATGCCACCTCTCACCCTGCCCTGCACCAGGGTGGCTGGTTATACCCTTAATAGAATTTGCAGAGGGCAGGTACCCTTTTATTTCTTTTCAATCAGTGGATATTACCAAATTGTTTTACTAATGCTTTCACATTACCCTCTTTACGACTCATCAGCAAAGCCTGGCAGGCTCCCAGCTCCAATCCCCTGGGATCACCTGCTTGGCAGCTCCACAAGTTGGTCCTGTTTTCCCTACTGTTTTCCCACTGCAACACATGTTTTCTGGGTGTCACAGCATCTGCCAAAGCAGCTCAGACCAAAAGCTTGTTTGACCCCAACTCCTGAATAGACCAGGGAAAAATACAACATCCACCCTGTTGTGGATAATCAGGGAATAACGTTGCAGGAGGGAAAGATTCATCCTTTAACTGCTCCTGGTCAGCTCTTATCCTGCCTGGGGTCTGCAGTTGGAATTGATGATCCTCGTGGGGCCCTCCCAGCTCAGGATATTCCATGACTTCCTCAGTTCATGGCAGAATCAGGCAATAGGAAATAGGAATGGCAATAGCAATGTTCACACTAGGCAGGCTTGGGAGCATTTCACACAGCCCAGAGGACTGATTCCAAAATGCAAAAACCCTCCAAAGGATGCTCAGTGTCTGACTGCCCATCAGAAACCTCCTTCAAAGTCAAGCCCAACCCTAGGAACTGTTCCCAAGGTGATTTGGGAATGAGCTGCCATGCTGTGGACACTCCAGACTGTGAGATCCTACTACCAGCCACCCTCCTCCTCCTCCTCCAGCCCCATCCCTGGGGCCAGATGGCTCGTGGGAGCCCAGGGACGGAAAGGAGTAGTTATTTTACACATCCCTGAGGTCCAGCAGTCCCCCCCACACACCAGCACAGAGTGTCCTGGGCAGCACAGCCCTTCTCTGCACTCAAAAATCAATGATAAACACTCCTTGCCTACAAGCATCTGACGTTTCTGGTGTGAGCCTCACCTTGTCTGAGCACTGCAATCCTTGGAAATTCAAAGCATTGCTAAAAATAGAAACTCAGGCTGTAACTCTGAGTGGTCACTCTTGTAAACAAGGAACAAAAAAAACCCAGGAGAGCTGAGAGCCCATCCTAGAGACCTAAAAAGTCCCAAGGCTGGGATGCAGCCGGCATGGGAGGAGGGCCTGAAAGCTGAGTAAGAACTTTCCACCTTCAGCTCATGATTTGGTGATAATTATGACAGATTTACAGCTCCAAGGTTCCTCCTCCCCAGATCAAAGGGGTGTCATTAAGGTGACAGTGTGGCTCCTGCACCATGGCAGGCACCAGATGAGCTCAGGAAGGCACAAACCCTCTCAGGGTCAGCCCAGAGCTCTGCTCTGAGGTACCAATCAATTTTACTGCCGACTTTAATGGCATAAACCAGCTGTAATGGAAGCTGTGGCGGTGCTAAAGAGAAAAATAGAGGCCAGCTAACAAAAGGAAATGATGTGCTGGAAGTTTTAGGTGCCTGAGAAAAAAAAGGAGCGATATAAAAATCGGTGTGTAAGTGCTGGAAATCAGGAGTAACAATGCAAAGGGATAATGCTCAGCACACGCACCAGGTTGCTACAAAACACCACTCTGAGATTCATCTCTGCAATTCCCTTCCACTGGTTCCTGGCTGTTATTTAGCACAAAGCTGGTGTCGCATGGGAACGTGCCTTTGGAGAGTGGCAGAGCTGGGACTACACTGGCACTGCCCTGCCATGACCAGGGAGATTTCTGGAATATTCCAGCAAAATGGGGTGATATTTTGCACCCCTGCTGTTGCTGATTAAATGAAATGCCAGGGGAGGGTGTTTGCTATAACACTGAGAGGGTGGCAGGGCCCAGCCTGATTTATCTCTTAATTAGTTCACAAATTGTGGACAATTGGTAAGTGCTGGCATGTCCCTGCACACAGATTCCACTGAGCACAAAATCAATGGGGCTGGATGAAATGCCCTGGTTAGGCAAAAGTGGAGATATGGGAAACTCCAGCTGTGGCTTTTCAGTCTCTGATTTGAAAAGCTGCTAATAAAACAACAGAAAGACCCATGCCATCACTGGAAGTCCACCAACCCCAAGAGCAGTTCTCCACTGAGCAGACAGAGAAATCCTACACTAAACCAGCATCCTGGGAGTGTGTGGGGGAAATCCCTGAATATTTGAATGCAGAATATGAATAATATATAATGCAGAATATGTAATATAATGTCCCTTCCATTCCATGGGGAAAAATTAAATCTGTGGACACGGAAAATCAGACATGTTTAGGTGTCAGTTGATTTGGTTTTGAGCAGAAGTTCAGTCCCTGAGCTGCAGAGGGACAGGCTCTGGTGCTTCTCTCTGGCTGTTGTGTTTCTGTGTTTGTGCAGAAAGGTCTATTGGTGCCTGTACATATACACATATATGTATAAAAACATCTCCAAAACCAGCAGGAATCAGCCCCTAGCTGACTAAGCACCAACTAGAGCAGGTTATCACAAGCTTTGAGGCCCTGGCACAGGTTGCCCAGAGAAGCTGTGGCTGCCCCATCCCTGGAAGTGTCCAAGGCCAGGTTGGACAGGGCTTGGAGCAACCTGGGCTAGTGGAAGGTGTCCCTGCCCCTGGCAGGGGGTGGAACTGGATCATCTTTGAGGTCCTTTCCAACTCAAACCATTCCATGAGTCTAAAATCACTATTCTGAGGTGCAAACCTGAACCCAAATGCTTGGGAACCCCAAGCTGAGGTTTATTCTCAGGCCTGTGCCAACTCTAGATCCTGAAAGCCAGGCTTGTTGACTGGGCTGCTGAAAACTGTGCAACACCAGCACTAGAAAAGGACAGCAGGTTTGGGATGGTCTTGGCAAAGTTATAGATTCACCTTCGACTTTGCTCCTAAGCAAAGGTAAGTTGATGGCACTGCAGTTTGAAGAACTAAATATATCCAAGCAAACTGCCACGGTGGAAATTTGAACCCGAATATTTGGAGTTTGTCAGCGTGGGAAAGGATGAAAAAAACAGAATCGAGCCCCGTCCATGCGACACAGGCAGTGGCAGGGCAGGGCTGTTCCCGTGGGACCCCCGTGCTGTGCCCCCCTGGCCAGGACTCACCACAAACATGTACTGCTGCACCGACTTGGCCGTGAACTCCGGCTTGCACTCTCCGATGCACAGGAGCACTGGGCCGGAGCTGATCCCTGGAAGCGCCTGCCCCATTTCACAGACGATCCTGGAAGTAGAAATGCCACAGGGAAGCTTTGGCAGGAGGTGCCAGCGCAGTGCCCTGCACAGCTCCACGCTGGGCTGGCTTCCTCTGGTTCTTCTTCCTTTCCCCCCCTCGCCCCTCCTCTTTAACTTTGATATCTGCCTCTTTTGGAAGAAGTTAATTACTGAGTCTATTTTTACCCCATGTAGTAATTTAAAGGAAAAAAAAATCAAAATTAGACATAATTATTACAAGCTGTAAACTCCAGAGCAAAGCAGAGCACTAATGGCAATATATTAGCCAGTAGCAAAGTGAGTGCGAAGTCCTTAGAGTAACAGATGAGTTCATTAAGGGAACAGCTCACACTGCAGTCTCCCAGTTAATCAAAACTGGAGAAGCCTGCTCGGGAATGATAGAGACAGCCATGGAGAGCAGCTTTTGCAGGGACACAGGGCTGGCTACCACAGAACACAGAGATGCTGGGCACAGGAGGCAGCAGCATCAAAGGACACGGTCCCCGTGCTCCAGCTCAGCCCTGTGGGCACATCCTGAGGCTGGGAAAGCTGGAAGGGAAGGGAGGGCTGCTGGGGTTAAACACATAACCCAAAAATCCCAGGGCAGCAGGGATGTGTAACAGCAGCTGGGGTTGGGATCAAGAGGATGCCAGTCATGCCAGTAGGTTTGAGGGAGGTTTTCAAAGGGGCATCAGCTGGCAGGGCTCTCCAGCTGGACATAAAGGGGATGGATGCTGCTTGCTCCCGTGGCAACGCTGGAAAGATAAATTCAAGAGCATCCCTCCAGGCACTGGAAACCTGGGGGTGGGAGTAACCTGCCTCAGGGATGAAAACCTGGGGGTAGGAGGAGTAACCTGCCTCAAGGAAGGAGACATGAGGGAGGGAGTGACCTGCTTTAGGGTGGAAATCTGAGGGAAGAAACGATCTGCCTCAGGGATGGAAATCTGAGGGTGGCAGTAACCTGATTTGGGGATGAAAACCTGGGGATAGGAGGAGTAACCTGCCTCAAGGATGAAAACATGAGGGTGGGAATAACCTGCTTCAGGGATGGAAACCTGGGGGTAGGAGTAGTAACCTGCCTCAAGGAGGGAAACATGAGGGTGAGAATAACCTGCTTCAGGGGTGGAAATGTGAGGGTAGGATTGATCTGCCTCAGGGATGGAAACCTGCGGGTAGGAGTAGTACCTGCCTCAGGAATGGAAATCTGAGGGTAGGATAACCTGCCTTGAGGATGGAAACCTGGGGACTCAAGGATGGAAACATGAGGGGACGAATGACCTGCTTTGGGGATGGAAATCTCAGGGTGGGAGTAATTTGCCTCGTGCAGGGGGTGCAGTAACCCCCCTGATGAGACACTTGTGAGGGTCTGACCCTGAGAGTGAGACCAGAGGAAGAGCCAGAGCATCCCCTGCCCAGTGAGGCTGAAGGAGCAGGGGGAAGCTCTCGCTCTTCTGCCACTTGCACACAAAAGCATAAAAGGCTCCAATTTGGGAAGGCAGCGTTCCAGCCGCCTTCAGCAGCATTAAATTCACTACAAATAAAATAAAGAGACTAAAGGAAGAAAAGAACCTTGCAGATCGCCTGCACAGGTGATGCCAGGAGGCCTGATGAAATACATACATGCTGGTAAAGAGCTGGAATGTGCACGTCCTCGTTGCTGCACATCAAAAGGGGTTGCCTAGAGAGACGCTGCCTTTGGAGAGCAGGAATTGAAGCATCTCAGCTGTGTGCCTTAATCTGCCACGTGCTCCTCGCTCTGCCTTTCAACCAGACAGTGCCCGTGCACCTCTCTCTGCCTGTTATTTGATCACTTCTCCTCCCGCAGACCAGCAGCGGGGCCAGGAGGCAGCTGTGCTCTGATTTTGGGTGCAGGGCTGGCAACTGGGAGCAGCAAAAGCCAGGGGAAGTGATTCCTGACACCCCACGGGCAGGAAAAGAGAAGGGGAGGTTTTCCCTCCCACAAGAAACTTGGAAACACCAAATACTCAACAATTTGCCAGTAGAGCAGCAGCTGCCACACAGCTCGGGCAGGACTGGGTGCAGGACAGGGCACAAGTGACCTGGAACACCTGATCCTGATTCCTGCTAAAAGCCAAATTCCCAGCATGTACCTTGTTACAAAATGATGCATTCGGCAGAGCTGTAGGGTGCTGATTGCTGGGCTAAGTGGCCCTTTCACCAACATTAACCTAATTGCTGGCTGATAGATTGCGTGGCTGGAGCATATGGCGAGTCATTACAGTCTTGGAATTCAGTCTGCCCACAGAACCCTTAAGAGGGTCCTTTTATCTGCATTCATCTTTAAAAGGCAGCTCTCATGCTAACGCTTGCTGTTATCTGCCCAGGGTAAATGTTTTAATGATGTTAACAAACTTTGAAAGCTCGAGAGCCGTAATTAGAGTCATGATTATAAAATCAGGGTTTCATACCATCAAAGGAGGATAATTTCATAATCTTCCATCCTTTATTTGAAAAATAAAATAAAACAAAGTACTGCTCAGCAGAACAGCCCAAACTGCTTGTAATGACAGGACTATTGGTGCAGTGGTTGGAGCCATTCCTGCAGTAACACCAAGACACCCTTCCTCCAGTGATCCCATGACACCCTGACACGTCCTCGCAGCTCAGAAGGGGTTATTAATGTCATTTATGTCTTACAGATGGGGAAAGAAAGACATGGAGCCAGCAAAAGCCAAACCAACACCAACGTGTGTTGGTGACAGGTCCTTGCACTGCTCTAGAGATCTGACTGGGGCACTGCACCACCAGAGGACAACTGCTCTGAGCTGCTCCTGGAGCTGGGGCAGATCCGTGCTGCTGGGACCACTCATGGAGTCTTGGCTTTCCCCACACCACACAGGACACCATCCTGATCCCCATGAGGAGATCAGACAACCCAAGGGCACACATCACCTCTCGCTCCTCTCCCGCCCTACCCAAACGACCCTCGACACGCCCCAAACAACCCCTCCCCAAAGCAGCAGGAGGAGAGCACGTCATTCAGGAGGTTTATCCTCTGTTTATCCTCTGTTACATGCCTGTTTTCTAATTTTTGGTTGACATTTCGCTGGGTGAAATAAATGAATTGACTCCAGTGGAAGCCCACTCGGAATTAAGCGGCTGTCACTGCCTCGCCCGCCTAACAAATGGCTGCACGCAGCCGGCAGCGCCGCCGGAATTTCAAGTGCCACGGGGAGCAGGGAAGGCTCGGCATCAACAGCAAGGTGCTCATCAGCAAAGTTGCTTAGCAAAGCAGGAACAGCAGGGTGGAAGGAAACACGGCGCTAAATGAAAGCTTAAAGTGCTGCTTAACCCCCGCGGAGAGCGCCAGAGCGCCTCGTCCCTTCCAACTCCAGACCCCTTCCTGCGGGGCTGGGAGGGTGGAGGGATGGTGCCTGGGGTTGGGATGGGTTCAGGGACGAGGTTCTGTGCCCGTGGGGAGCCGTGGTGGGGCTGGGTGGGGTTGGGAAGGTCACTCACTGCTCCGCCACGATGTAGTGCTCGGGCAGGGGCGCGCAGGGCACCCCGGCCACCTGCACCCCGTGCGCGATCTCCGAGAAGTCCAGGCCCAGGTTCACTCCACGGATGGTCACCCTCGTCCCTCCTTCCGGTGGGCCCGACACCGTCAGGATCTAGGGGGAAACAAAACACAGCAAAGTTGAGCTGGTGAGCCCCAAACCCCATCCTTCAACCCCACGCCTGGCTCAGAAACACTGAGTGCTGCAACCTCCTCCCGCTCCTGCTGCCAAACCCACGCCAGTGCCAGCTCCCCGTGACTCCTCTGGATGTCCTGGAGAAGCCCAAGGCTGCTGAAACCCATCTGTGCTGTGCTCCAAGAGAGGACACCAAGATCCCTGGGCCGGCCAAGAGCTGTAGGCAATGCCATTCCTCAGAAGGCCCTGGCTCCTTTTTAATAAATCCAGAAGATGATAAGTCACCTTCCAGAAGTAGCCTGCTTCTTGGGAGAACTTTAACTTCTGCCTTGGCTGTTACCTGAATGTTAATGTCACATTTTATTAGTAAGTTGGCACCTCAAATGACTTAAAAATGTTAAAGGGTGAGATGTGTGCTTTCAAGCTTCCTGTTTATAGCCTGCCTCAGCCATAATCATCTCTGCTTCTATGGACTTTCATTAAGGACAATATCCTCTTCAATTAGGAGTATAAATTTCAATAATGCAGAGTCACAAAATTTGGACCCAAGACTCTCAGACAGTTATCCTGAATCTGCCACCGGTCTGTTGTTGCTCTTGGGTGAGTTACTAATCTTCCCCATACTACAGTTGTTGTTAATAAATAAACACAATCCATAATAATGCAATTTAATTAATTTAATGGATAAATCCTGTTTACGCTTGTTTGTTCCACCCTTGTCTTTGGCAAAAGACTTGAGCTCTTCAAAACCTTTCCCTCACTGTTTCCAGATGGATGTTTGCTTTCTTCCACCTTCCTAAGAGGCAGTCTGGAAGGTGGCCAAACACCAGCAACCTGCCCCAAAGCAGCCCTTGTGGGACCCCTTGCACTGTCCAGTGCCACAGGGCATGTCTCCCCCTTCCCATGCCATCAGGATATCCCTGTGCCCCATCACTTCTGGGGTTCCAAGTTCCCCAAACCATCTCCCTGCATTTCAGATCCCAGCTGAAGCCATTTGCCTTCTCCCTTGCTTACACATTGTCATTTCATAGAATCATGGAATGGTTTGGGTTGAAAGGGACCTTAAAAATCATCTTGTTCCAAACTCCCTGCCACAGGCAGGGACAGCTTCCACTAGCCCAGGTTGCTCCAAGCCCCGTCCAACCTGGCCTTGGGCACTGCCAGGGATGGGGCAGCCACAGCTTCTCTGGGCAACCTGTGCCAGGGCCTCCCCACCCTCACAGGGAAGAATTTTTTCCTAATATCCAATAAAACCTACTCTCTGGCAGTTTGAGGCCATTCCCCCTTGTCCTGTCACTACATGCCCTTGTAAAGAGTCTCTCTGCATCTTTCTTTTAGGCTCCCTTCAGGTACTGGAAGGCCACAATTAGGTCACCCAGAAGCCTTTTCCACCTCTGCTCCTGTTTAAGGTGCTCCTGTAGAAATTCACAGTCATAGAATCATCAAGGTTGCAAAAGACCTCCCAGAGCAAGTCCAACCTCTACCAAATCCCACCAAAATGTATCATCAAGTGCCACGTCTGAAGTGCCACGTCTGCTCGTTTTTTGAACACTTCCAGGGATGGTGACCCCACCACTTCCCTGGGTGGAGCCTGTTCCAACTCCATGACTTCCCTGGGCAGCCTGTTCCACCTCTGGCAGCTCCACATGCCCAGCAGAGCCACCCCATACACCAAACCACCCCCTCCTTCCTCTGCTTGAATTCCCACCTCCCTCTCCGACCGAGGTTTTTAATTTATTCACCAGGCACTGCCTGTTGTGCTGCTGTTCCCTGTAACTCACACTGCCTGGCACGTCTTGTATCATTTAGCTCTGCATGAAGCACTACGTGCCCACGAAGCCACCACCAAATCAAGCTCTATTGCATTACACCGAGTCCTGGAGGCCTGGGAATGTTTACATCGCTAGCTGGGAATCACCTGAACTTGGCACTTCACCTACTTGACAGTTACAACTGTCCTTTGCAGCTCTAGATTATGTTAAAATGCATTTACTGGAGCACTTACACCGCTGGGCTCGTCGGCTCGTCGCTGCTTGAGAAAAAGAAGTCACCGTTTACCATTTGCTGACCTGACCAGAACCAGAGGAGCCAATTGGCCTCACCCAAAACAAAGCTGAGCTGATGCTGTATTTTAAAAATGTCCTGACCTGGAAAATCCCCAATATGGAGCTCCACTCGACCTAGATTTTAGTGGCCACTAATTGAACAGTTTTGAAGTAACTGTGCCATAAAGCAGCCCCAGGGTTAGAACAGATGCATTCAATTAATTACAGCTGGAGAGATTCAGTCAAAATCGCAGAAAGAAGATAAGTCTTAAAGGTCCCGTTGCACCGAGAGCTGGGGACCCCTCCAAGCAGCATCCCTGGGCCCTTCATGGGGGTGAGGATTCATGGATGAGGCACCTCCAGCCAAGCCAGCCCGTGCTCTGCCTTAATCCTGGCTTGGCTGTGCTGGTTGCTGCTCAGGCTGCAGGGCTGGCTGGTGACACTCCAGTTTTCTGATCCGAGACAGACAGGATTAGGAAGAAATATTCCCCAATTTCAAGAAAATCACTTCACTAGACTGGCTTTTCACTCAGAGGTCTGTGGAGGATGAAAAGAACCCGCAAAGGGCAGCCGAAGAAAACCAAGGCCATTACCAGGAATTGTACATTTACTGTTAAGGAATTTGCACCTCTGCTGGAAGTTTTTTAGGTTGAACCGAAGCAGTTTGGACGTCACTGAGATCTGAGCGGGGTGTGGGAGGCAGAATTATTCTGAGCAGGTCACTTCTCCCCCTCTGCATCAGCCTCACCTCGCATGGAACAAATCTGCAATCCACCTCCTCTAATAATACCTGTTCCTGCTGCCCAGGGAAAGGGTTTATGCAGGTGTACAGCTCTGTATTATTCATAAAAAGGTTTCAAGTACAGAGATGAAGTGAGTGGTGGCAGGAGCTCAGTCACCCCCACACCCTGTCCCTGCATCACGGAAGGGTTGCAGATGCTCCAGGGCATTTCTCTTGCTGCTGCTTACTTGAAACCAAGGTAGGGATCATCAAGGTTGGAATCCAAGGGATCCCAGGGATCCCCAAGGTTGGAATCCAAGGGATCCCAGGGGTCCAGGAGCCCCAGCACAGTTCTAGCACCCTTCCCTCCCCAGCCTGCAGAAGACAGTGCAGGAAAAACGTTCTCAGCCTCACGTCTGGCCCGTTGCATCACTCAGCATTTCTGACACCAAGCAATATTTAGCCTCCAGAAGAAGTCTGTGATGAGAGGGGGAGACCTGGAGACAGGGAGACCTGGAGGCAGGGCTGGCTGTGAGTTGGATGGGGCTTTCCCTCTGGAGAAGCCATGAGCCCGGCGACCGCTCTGCACAACAACCACTTGGCATCTGTCAGGGTGCAGAGAGAGCACCCGGCTGCTGAATCAATGGCATAACCCCTGCCCCCCCTCCCCAAACCTCATCCACCTTCATCCTCTTTGTCTTTTTTTCATCCTGCTCTGAGCTCGATGGATCCCAGCTGATGAGCCCAGCGGGGACCCGGCACACAAGCATTGTCATCCCGGCATGATCCCTCCTTGTCTCTGCCTCGGCTGATAGCACATTCAGAACCTAATTGTTATCTCAGCAGAGCAACTCCATTATTCAGCCTGACACTGGCCCCCCCCTTCAGCTGTTTGTTGCACTGATGTTATATTAATGAGGCCTGCAAATAAATGAATAGGAGATCAGAGTGCCACTTGTTCGCCAGAAAGCTGATTTTTATTTATTTATTGCTAAGACCACAGACCGTGTGGAAGTTTTAAGCTGCTGAAGGGACACTGTTGGTGACGGCAGAGCCTCTCACTTAGTAAAAGAACTGCAAATATCCCACTGCTCATTTACTTTTATAACTATTAAAACAGAATCTCTTCTTACTTATGCACCCCCTGAAGGCACTGGTGCCTGGGAGCCAGGCCCTTGACCTCAGGCTTGTCAGAAAGAGTGAACCTGGCCAGATGAAGCAAAAAGGAGTGGAAAACAACCCATATTAAAGGCTCTTTTAGGCTGAGTCTGATGCAAACCCCAGTATGAGACTAAACACTGTTCCCCAGTTGAGCCTGTCAATGCTGGTACCTGCAGGATGGAGGATGTGCCACCAGTGCCAGCTCTGAGCCTGCCAGCTTGGTCCCAGCAGGGCAGGGTGTTCCCTCCCACCATTCCAGCTCTACAGCACCAGGCAGTGCAAAATGGTGCCCAAAATCCCCAAAAAAACTCAGGTGGCAGAAAAGGACCCAACAGCAACAAAGGCTGTAAAGGTCTCATGGTCTCCTACACAATCTCACACACTTTACTGGAGGGGAAAGGGGATGAGAGAAGTTAAACCAGGCTGTTGAAAGGGTTGGATTTAGGAATATCGACCCTGTGGGGTTTCTGCTGGGGCTTTGGCATTTTCTAGACCTGACTGCTCAATGCAAGATTCTGCCTGAGTGTTCAACCCTGTCAGTGCCCTTCCCACCAGTGGATCTCAAAGCACACAGAAGAGGTCACTAGCTCCCCTCTGCTTTCCCCCTTCTTTTCTACAACTGCAAACTTGACTTTCATTAAAAAAAAAAAAAAAGCAAGCTGTGAATTCCTAAGGAGAAAGGTGGAGTCCAAGGGAAAACACCAAACACCACAAGAGCTGTGATAAAATCACAGCAGCTCACAGCTCTGCCAGGGTCAGCAGAGCCATGGGACAACACAACCCCCTGAAATCTGGGTTTCTCATTGCTGATCTCACTGTGGAATAAACCAACAAAAGCACAGACATTCCCTACTCCACTCTCTCATCTACAAATCCACTCAGGGCAATCTCCTGAGACTCCAAACATCCCCCAGCGAGGCACCCCCCGCTTCCCACTTGGAAGGCTGAGACCCAGACCTGGTCCTGGAGACAAGAAACGTGTAACAGCAGCAAAGCCCTGCTCTTTTCTTCCTGGACAGAGCCCAAAAGTATTGCTTTCAAGTTGGACAGTGATAAAACACTTGGTGGCAGTGCCATGCCTGCAGCCAGCTGCCAGAGCCAGCCTGGCACCACTGGGATGCAAGTCATTTGGTGGCTGAAGCTGAGTGTTTTTCCTCTTCTCTGCTTAGCTCAAGGAGGGGGAAAGAAAAAATTCCAAGATTTCTTCAATGTTACAACTATCTGAATGGTTTATGGGGAAGAAAATCTCAGGCAGAGGCTGTTTTGCTTTGTGCATCTTGTAGCATAACCTCGTGCAGCAGAAGAGCACTTGGATAAGTAAAGTTTGGGTTCTGCCCACTGGCAGGACAAGGTGAATATCCAGGCAAGCTTTAAAGCTCATTTTATCTCTTGGTAAGACACCTATGGCTTGGAAAACAAACAAATCAACCAAACAGGGAAAGGATTCTCAACACTCCTTAATGCTTTCCTATCTCTGCACAACCAACACCTCCTCTGCTCCTCCACAGGCTTGTCACCTCAGCAGCTCCTCACCAGCTCCACTCTGCAGCGTGAAAAACAGTGCACAAGAGAAATCCCTGCCCAGCAAAGGTATAATGTGGCTGGGCAGAAGGTCTAGGAAAGAAATATCAAAAGCCTGGTAACATCCCTGCAGGATGGATGGACCCCCCTCAGCATCATCCTCCTCCAGTCAGCCCCACCCAGCCCTGACAGAGCGGCCTCTGTGCTTCCTCCCCTCCTCCATAAAAGGAGGTTGATGCCTCCCTCCTGGGGGGTTGAACCAGTTTAGCTAAACTGGTGTAAAAACTAATTGAAGAGGAACCTTCCACACACCCTTGGGTCCTTATTCCGCTGGCAGAAGTTTGGGTGCTGAGCAGCCCTACTCCTGCCCTGCCATGAGGAAGAGGCCCCCTCAACCCAGCACTGTTACATCCTTCTGCAGCACGGACACATGCTCAGGGCGAGGGAGGTTTTTTTCGGGATTTAATTAACTGAGAACCCAAAATCTTCCTTCATTCCCACCTGATAAGAGTGTCACTCCTAATAGCGACGTTAACAGACCGAGCACACTTTTACCGGTGAAAAAACGCTCCTGGGAGACATTCTGCATCCCTCAGTGGCCTGAACAGAAATATCAGAAGCATCAACTACGGACTAATTAGCTCCCTGGTTTAATTAGCATTCTGGTAGCGGTCCGTGGCGGTCACCCCGGCGCTGGTGGCACCGGTGGCGAGTGCCAGCTGCCTGGGGCAGGGGCAGGGCTGCACCCCTGGCCACGGGCCATGAACAGCACTGAAAAAGTCCTGGAGCAGGTGGGCAATGGAAGGTTTTCAGACAAGACAGGGACAGCCTAAAATCCACCCTGGGAGGAGCAAAGGAAGAGGGGGAAACCGCCAACCGCGAGGGGTTCGACGAGGGGAAGTGCCGGGTTCTGCACCTGGGATGGGGCAGCTCTGGATGTACGGACAGGATGGGGGATGAGGGGCTGGAAAGCAGGGCCAGAAAGGGACCTGGGGGTCCTGGTTGATGGGAAGTTGGCCATGAGTCAGCAGTGCCCTGGCAGCCAGGAGGGGCAACCCTGTCCTTGGGGCATCAGGCCCAGCATCACCAGCTGGGACTGGGAGGGGATTGTCCTGCTCTGCTCTGACCTGGGATGGCCTCACCTGCAATATTGGAGCAGTTTTGTGCAATATAAGAAATAAATTAAGCTATTAGAGAGTGTCCAAAGGAGGTCAGTGAAGATGGGGAAGGGCCTTGAGGGAAAGCTGTGTGAGGACACTGAGGGCACTTGGTGTGTTCAGCTGGAGAAGAGGAGACTGAGGGGAGACCTCACTGCAGTCACAACTTCCTCATGAGGGGCAGAGGAGGGGCAGGCACTGAGCTCTGCTCTGTGGGACCAGTGGTAGGACCAGAGGGAATGGCCTGAAGCTGTGTCAGGGCAGGTTTAAGTTGGATCTCAGGAAAAGGTTCCTCCCCCAGAGGGTGGTTGGGCACTGACCAGGGCAGTGGTCACAGCATCAAGGCTGCCAGAGCTCAAGGAGCTTTTGGATGACACTCTCAAGCACATGAGATGGTCCCGTGCAGGGTTAAGGGTTGGAGTCAATGATTCTCGTGGGTCCCTTCCCCACTCAGCACATCCTGTGGGATCGGCGGGTTCTTACCTCGGTGATCCGGGGGTTGGAGCACTTGACGTTGCGGCTGGACCAGTCGAGCCAGGGCTGGGCCGAGGGGGAGCTGCAGTGGGGCCTCAGGGTGCACTTGGCCTCCCCACTGCACCAGCCACACTCGAATTTGGGGTCAGCCTTGAGGCAGAGCCCGCAGCTCTCGCGCTGGGCCGCGCACTTGTACAGGTGCACTGAGGAGAGAGGGGAGGGGATCAGGGCAGGGGCAGGAACTGAGACATTCACCTGGGCTGCAGCTGCTCTCGGACTCACAACCCGCAGCACGTGCTGAGTTCTGGCTTAACGAGCCGCAGAGTGGCTTCCAAAAGGCGGTTTCCAAAGCCACGGTGGGATCAGCGGGGCTCAGTGAGCAGCACGAGCAGCGGAGCTGTGAGCTGCTCCCATCCACGGGATGATCCACAAGGATCACGACATCTCTGCCTGCAGCCACAGGCACTGCCCTGCCCCAACAGCCTCTCTCCAGCCCCCACCTCCACCCTCCTCCCCGTGGCTCGAAGCCATTTAAAGCAGACGTTACCTTTCAGATCCTCCGGGTTGTCAATAACAAAGTTCCCATTCCAAACCACGGCAAAGTCCACGGCCAAGTTGCTGATGTCCATCCCATCATAGAGGTACTGCAAGAGAAGATGGAGAATGGCATGTTTGGGAGAATGACTCAAACAGAAAAAGAAGGTTTTTTTGAAAGAAACCATAATTATTCTCTGCTTAAAAACATGTGCTGGTGCCTGAGACATCACATTTCTACACTTCAACTCCAGGGTTCTGCTTTGACTCCCTTGTCCTCACCAGGAAGAGATAATTAAATCAGATCTAGTCCTTGTGAGAGGTAATAGATTAATTATTCCACTCACAGTGGTTGCTCTTGTCACTCAGTCTCTAGCTTATCAATACAGCCCCTCCAGTTAGTCAGACTGGGACTGCTGCCTTCAGGCTGTCTTCTTCCACAGTCACTGTGCACCCCAGTGTGAGTGGGAGCTTAAAAATCCCACTGCAGAGCTTTGGCTGATGGAACAGGCACCATCTGAGCAAAAATAGATGCTGCAGGGAGGTCCTTTCCCAGCCACTGCTTTGGTCCAGACTAGGGTAGCACTGGCTTGAATTATTGCCCTTCTTATGGACACCCTGGGGGCCGTGGCTGAGTGAATGTGGAGGCTTTAGCTGAATTCCCAGTGTATTCTGAAATTCCCATTATCACAACCAGCACTGATGAGGCTTCGCTCCGATGCTCTCTCTAAGTCAACCAAGAGCTGCTAAAAAGACTTAAAAAGGTGAGGGAACATTGCCATCCTCTTTGGGATGGGGCTGGTGGTGAATGAACCAAGGCAGACTGCTCTGACTGTCCCTGTGCAGTAGTTGTGCAGTTTGAACTCACATTTGGCTGTACTGAGTCACCTTGCCTGGGTTTTACTAAGTTGGTGTGAAACAAGATCTTCTGTTCAAGTGATGGAGCTGTGAGTTCAGAATTGCCCTTACATCCTCTACCTACCACTTCCTATTAGCCTAACAGCAATAAAAGTGCTTCTCTAACGTTTATAAATCACTTTGGATAGGAAAAGTACTCTATAGTATTAATACATTTATTATCCACCGAGCTGCGAGGCCCAAAGACGGCCAGTGATGTATAAATATCCAGTGAAATTTTTAAAAATTCAAAACTTCATTAACAATTTAAGACCATCTGCGCTGAATATTCAAGTGGACCCTGTTCTGCTGCCTAAAACAAACTGCCTGTGCCCTGTTTGCCCACGGACCTCTTCGAGCACTTGGTGAGGAGAGGAAGGACCTGCTCATCCCAGAGCTGTAGATTGTCACAGGAGACCCAAATGTGGGCTGTGGCTCAGGGTAGGGGGTGACCTGCATTTTCCATGCGTGTTTTGGCATCCCCAAGTACCTGCTGTGGTGACTTTGGGGTGTTGGGAAGTAAAATCCTGCCAGGTCCATTGGCAGGGCAAAGCCTCATCCTACAGAGGAGGGTTATCCTCCCCTGCCTGCTGCTCCAGCAGCATCTCTCAGGTAATTTCCCTCTCTCCACTGTGCTCTGAAGTTTTCCTTTCCCCCTCCTTCCCTGCTTTTCAGCACCACTCTATTCATCCAGGCACCGTGACCTGGAATTCGACAGCTCCCCGATAAGGGGTCTGTGATTCTCCTTATCTCCCCGCGTGAATTAGCCTGCCTGAACACCTCCCGCATCCCCTCCTCCTCCCCTTCCCCTCGCTGACCCCCCTGCAGGCAGACAGGGAACCGCCAGCTATCTGTGATTAAACACCTCGCACGCCCACGGGCGCCTCGCTCCCACCTGGAATTCTGGATTAGCTAAACTCCGAGAGTTTTCACTCCCTTTGGAGCTGACACCCGGTTTTTGGCGCGTTCCCTCACCGAGCTGTTCTGGCACTGGACGCTGGAGCTGTTGAAGCGCAGGGCGGGCACGCGGTGGATGATGCCCTGGATGCTGAGCACACACTCGTACCCGCGCTGCCCCGACTGCGGCTGCGGCAGGTTCCTCGCCTTCAGCGTGATGGGTTTCACCTCTCCCACCGGGATCAGGATCTCCTCCGTGGGGAAGAGCTGGGGACAGTCCTGGGAGGGCAGTAAGGAGAGAAGGAGGTTACAGCGGTGGCAGAGCTGATGTCCCAGCCCCATCCCCAGTGCCCAGGACACGCCACTCCCCAGCCCAGCTGCAGTTTAAGTGCACGAATAAAGGAACCCCCGCGACAGCCCCTCTGCCCTGGGGCTGGCACTGATTTCCTCATTGCAGCTGCAGCAGGAGGAACGCCCTATTTGGGGATAAATCCAAGGTGTCCTCCCTGCTCCGAGCTTGCCGTGGGTTTTATCTGTGGAGCCAGAGGCTCTTGCCGTGCCCTCCTGCAGCAGCACAACCCCTTATCAGCTGCTCCAGCTCTGCTGAGCCCCACTGCTCTGGAGGGAGATGGGCTGCTCCCAGCCACAGGCTGCACTCCCTGGGCCTCCTCCTAATCCCATTTCACCCCTCACACCCCTCGGCTCTGAGACGGATCAGCCTGGGATGTGCTTCCCTCTCACCACCAGGCACTGTTCCGCTCTGCTTTATCAGAGGTAAATTAGGCCAACGTGCCATTAATTTCTGAGGTGACATTAAGTTCTGCTCTGTCTGCTCTCAACCCCTCACCACGCTCCAACACCTCTGCCTTCCTGAAACACCCACCCAGCTCTCTGGAACGCTCCTGGGCTGTGGCTGGCATGGCCTTTCCCTTGGCTGAGGAGTGCCTGGGTGGGATTCGTGCCTCTGCCAGCTGGGTGGGCAAAGCACCTGACCCGAATTGCCTTTTCTATCTCTAAATCTTAGAATGGTTTAGGTTGGAAGGAACCTTAAAGATCACCTTGTTCCAACCCCCTTCTATGGGCAGAAACACCTTCCACGAGCCCAGGTTGCTCCAAGTCCCGTCCAACCTGGCCTTGGACACCTCCAGGGATGGAGCAGCCACAACTTTGCTGATAAGGGTGATTTATTTTTACTTCTGCCATTATCTGGCCAAAATAATTAACTGCAAATTAATAGCAAGTTCTCATATTGCTGAGGCTCAAGATTTTGCTGTGCAAGATGCTGCATGAAAAATAAAAGGAGACTCCCTGCAAACACTGGAAGAGCCTGGCACAGGTTGCCCAGAGAAGCTGTGGCTGCCCCATCCCTGAAAGGTCAGGTCAGGTTGGATGGGGCTTGGAGCAACCTGGGCTAGTGGAAGGTGTTTCTGGCCATAGCAGGGGGTAGAATGAGATGATCTTTAAGGTCCCTTCCAACCCAAACCATTCTGTGATTGATGAACCACCACTGCACAAACGAGCAGATCTCCAGTTCCCCACGAGCACAAATGAGATGTCTAAATGAAACTCTGAGATGAACCACAAAAAAATGAGCTATCAGTGCCTGGTACCTGTATGACATCCCTCCCATAAGATCTCAGCATCCTAAACATTATCTCTGCACAACACACCGGGAAATACAGTTTTTCTTCCATTTCCATACCAGGAAATGCAAGAGACTGAGATAAAGGCTCTGACCATCAGAAGTATTTACATTCTGTTCAGCTCTAATTTGCTTTGATCTAATGGAACAAGGTACCTAAGTACCTGTAAGCACCTGACACTAAATGATTAATCCCAAGCTAAAGTAGGAGTTTGAGAAAACACGGCCTGACGTCTCCCTTCCCTCTGCCAAATCCCAGACTGGTATCCCAAGACCTTTGCCACCCAGCCTACTGATGAAAGGAAATCATCCTGGTGGCAGTGCAGCGAGAGCCATCCTCACCAGGATTCCACTAGGACTGTGTGTCCAGGGGGAAAATCCCCATCTCTCCCTGATAGCCACAACCCGTGCCAAGCCACACTCCCTCTCCAGCTCACAGCCAGGGCCATGGGATGTTGTTTCACTACTGGCTCAGGCAAGTTGTAAATGAGAAACAGATGCTACCCTGGTTTGGAGTAACTTAAACCACTGCCTCATAAACCTTTTTAGTGGCACTTTTCCTTATATATATTTTATTTTATTTCTAACAGGGACTTTCACGGATTAACAGCCAAGAGTGATTTTAAACTCCATCAGCCAGAAAGCGGCTACACTGGAGGGGGAAGAAAAGTCCTTTTCTGCAGTGGAGTGGGTTTACAGGCTGGAAGGGAATGGCATAACCTGGTTCCCACAGACCCTGGTACTGTGGATCCAACCCCCAGCTCAGCCTTTGTGCTACCACCAGCAAACTCCTAGGATTGCTGTCATTTTCCATCCACTGCCAGCTCCTCCAAGCTCATTTTGCACACACATTCCGTCCTCCTCCTTATGCATCACACGCCTGTACCACTTTCCACTCAATATCTGGCTGCATTTAAGGTTTTGCATTTAACCTCAAACTCACATCAAGGACCGACAGGAGACAAATATCTCTGCTCCAGCCCTGTGGAATGCCCGTGTTTGGAAGGAAAAGCATCCTGGAGCCACAGAACCTTTTACCCCGTTATGACTGAAAACAAAAAACATCTCCAGTCACATCACCAGTGGGAGAACCTCAGTGCACAGTCCTGAAAATAATGAATATGTTATGGACCATTATCCTTCCTGGCCAGCGCCATCCGTGAGGCGACTGCTAAGGAGACGCTCCTGCCTTGGGAGACACAGGGAGAGAGGACTTACATTTCCAGATCTGCTCTCTGGTGCTGAAAATGCTGGTAGCAAAAATCGTTCTGCCGTCATTAGAGATGAGTGGGACATAATAGATATACTTTTCTTTTTTTTTTTCCCCCCCTTTGGTTTCAGTGGAAGGAAAATGTCACACCGGGGTAGTGGCGAAGGCAGGGCAGGCAGCCCGAGAGCGCGCTCGGGGATGCACCAAGCGAGGCAGCCCCTCTGTGTTGGCTGACAGTTACAGTGATCACACTAATAAGGGATGTACATTTTGGAATGGGGGATATGTAGGAAGATGGAAGACTCCTGGGGAGCCACATTGCTGTGGGCAGTTGCTGCTGAGTTTATCAGAGGAGTGAGCGAAGCCGCGGGAGCTGCCGGGGCTTGCGGAGGGCACAGGAGGGCTGGGAGGTCGCTGCCTTGTTGGAGCCCTTCTCCTGCCTCTCTGTGCCATTTCCCATCCTGCCACATTGTTCAGCCTGCAGGCCTTTTCTTTGTATTTTGTTTTTGTTTAATTGCTGCCACAGTGATGCACAACCACGTCACTGCATACCCACACCCCTGCACACTCACACCCCTGCACATCCACATCCCTGCTCACCCAAATCCCTGCTCACCCAAATACCTGCACATCCACACCCCTGCACACCCAAATCCCTGCTCAACCAAATTTCTGCACATCCAAATCCCTGCACACCCACACCCCTGCACACCCACACCCCTGCACACCCACACCCCTGCACACCCAAGTCCCTGCACACCCATGTCCCTGCACATCCATGTCCCTCCACATCCATGTCCCTCCACATCCATGTTCCTGCACATCCCCATCCCTATACAGCCACATCTCTGCACACCCAAATCCCTGCTCATCCATGTCCCTGCACACCCAAATCACTGCTCAACCACATCCCTGCTCAACCAAATCTCTGCACATCCAAAAT